TCCAGTCTTCACATATCCTGTAGAGATCAATCCTTGTTGTATCTTTTCTCGAACAAAGTGACAATCGATCTCAATATGTTTTGTTCTCTCATGAAACACTGGATTGTTGGCAATATGTATAGCAGCTTGGTTATCACACCAGAGTTTAGCGGGCATTGGTGTCTTCAATCCCATTTCACTCAATAAATGGTTTATCCAGATTATCTCACATGCCGATTGTGCCATAGCCCGATATTCTGATTCAGCACTCGAACGAGAAACCACATTCTGCTTCTTACTTTTCCAAGAGACGAGATTACCACCAACAAAGACGCAATAGCCAGATGTGGATCTTCTATCATCTTTAGATCCAGCCCAATCAGCATCTGCAAAGCATTCTATTCTCATGTGATTATGATTCTGATAAACAATACCTCGTCCCGGTGTCCCCTTCAAGTAACACAATATATGCTCTACAGCATTCCAATGATCCACTGTCGGAGATGACATGTATTGACTTACTACACTCACTGAGTATGCAATATCTGGACGGGTAACTGCGAGATAATTAAGTTTTCCAACCAACCGTCTATATCTTTCCGGATCTTCGAATGGCATACCTTCATGAGTGAGTTGTACATTGGGAATCATGGGAGTACTGCTTGGTTTTGCCCCCAATTTCCCTTTTTCAGTTAGTAAGTCAAGCACATATTTACGTTGAGATAGAAATATGCCTTTCTTACTCCGTGTAACCTCAATTCCCAAGAAGTATTTCAATGAGCCCAAATCTTTCGTCTGGAATTGACTATGAAGAAAATTCTTTAGGGCCAAAATACATGTATTATCACTCCCTGTAATCACAATGTCATCAACATACACCACAAGCAATGTAATACCTGTTTTCGTTCGTCTGTAAAATACAGAGTGATCTGATTTGCCTTTTATCATCCCAAATCGTTCAATTGATTGGCTGAATTTCCCGAACCATGCACGGGGACTCTGTTTCAAACCATAAAGAGACTTGCGAAGTCGACAAACTTTCCCATACTCCCCCTGAGCAACAAACCCCGGAGGTTGCTCAATATAAACTTCCTCCTGAAGATCACCATGCAAGAATGCATTCTTAATGTCCAATTGATGTAAGTGCCAACCATGAGTTGCTGCGTGAGAAATAAGTAATCTGACAGATGTTAATTTAGCAACAGGAGAAAATGTGTCAGAATAATCAACGCCATAGGTTTGAGCATAACCCTTCGCAACTAATCGGGCTTTCAACCGAGCAACGGATCCGTCAGGGTTAACCTTTACAGCAAAGACCCACTTACATCCTATAGACTTCTTCCCTGTAGGCAAGTCTACCAAATCCCAGGTACCATTAAGATCCAAAGCATTCATTTCCTCTACCATGGCATGACGCCAATCGGGATGAGACAAAGCATCTTTAACAGATTTGGGAACATAAATAGAATCAATGGAAGCAATAAAAGAACATGAGGCAGATGATAATTGATTATACGACACACATGAAGAAATAGGATGAGTACAAGACCGTGTACCTTTACGTAGTGCGATGGGGAGATCAAGATCTGATGTAGAGACAGGATCTGAAGATGCAGGTGTCGGTTCAGGATATGAGATCGGATCAGTATCAGGAGAAGTAACCACGGGTGGAGGGTGATCTTGCACTTTGTGTCGACGGGTGTATACCAAGTGTATCGGAGGCCTAGGCTCAGGAAAAGTAACATGGGGAAGAACTGTTGAAGTATTGGACTCGGGTATAGTGACTGTGTAAATGAGTATATCATCATTCTCCCTACAGATATTTGTGTCTGTTGATGAAAATGGTGTATTTTCATAAAAGGAGACATCAATTGAAACAATATACCGACCTGTACTTGGAGAAAAACATCTGTACCCCTTTTGAACTCGAGAGTAGCCTAAGAAAATGCACTTTAATGACTTGGGATCTAACTTTGTTAAATGGGGATTAACATCTCGTACAAAACAAGTGCAACCAAAAACTTTAGGAGGAATAGGAAAATTTTCATTATTTGGAAATAGGCACTGATATGGAGTTTTACCATCTAAAACAGTAGATGGCATTCGATTGATCAAAAAACATGCGGTAGACACAACATCTGCCCAAAAATGTTTTGGCACATTCATTTGGAATAGAAGAGCCCGCGCAGTTTCTAATAGATGTCTGTTCTTTCGTTCAGCAACTCCATTTTGGGGAGGTGTGTCTACACATGAAGTTTGATGAATTATGCCATGTTGAGCCATATACAACTTAAATGAGGCAGACAAATACTCTTGAGCACTGTCTCCCCTTAAAATACGAACATGTACATTAAATTGAGTTTTGATTTCAGCACAAAAGGCACAAAAATGAGAAAATAACTCGGAACGACGTTTCATGAAATAAATCCAAGTCATACGAGAATAATCATCAACAAAGGTAACAAAATATTTAAAACCAGATTTGGACACAACAGGGCAAGCACCCCAAACATCAGAATGAACCAGTTCAAAAGGAGCATGTGCTCGTTTATTGACTCGAGGACTTAGACTACTTCGATAATGTTTTGCAAATTGACACGAATCACACTGTAAGGATGACACCTTATTGAATTGAGGATAAAGCTTCTTTAACAACGGAAGAGAAGGGTGACCTAGTCGATAGTGAGCCTCTAACACAGTTCCAATGCCAAGACAAGAGATTGATTTGGGTAAGGATGTATCCAAGAGATAGAGACCGGCTGACTCATATCCTTTACCAATAACCTGATTCGTCAACAGATCCTGAAATACACAATATCTAGGAAAAAAGGTTACGGAACAATTAAGTTTACGTGTGATTTTGCTGATCGAAATCAAATTGAAAGCAAAATTTGGAAGACTTAGGACGGGTGACAAAGGTAAGGTAGATGTTGGGACAATTGTACCCGTACCAAGAACGGGTGACGTAGATCCGTCAGCCAAAGTCACACTAGAAGTATGAAGAGGTGTGTGGAATGAGGAAAAAAGACTAGGATTACCTGTCATATGATCTGTTGCTCCTGAATCGATAACCCATTTTGAGGATGAAGATACAAGACATGTGTTTGGATTACCTGAATTAGCTACAGCTGAGATAGGAGTAGATGAATGCTTTAGAGCCTCTTGGTAACCTAGGAATTTGGCATATTCCTCCGAAGACATAATGATGGATCCATTAGATGGTTGTGTAGCGGAAGCAATGTGAGCGACTTGATTTCCTTGATTTTTGAACTTTAGCTTTCGACAATCTTTGATCAAGTGTCCGGGTTTCTTACAGTAGTTGCATACTACTCCTTTGCCAATCGGTCCTGTGCGTGGCCACTTCTCACCTCCATTGGGGAATGTTGGGACTTGCCCTACAAAAGCATTGCTTGGCTGAGGTGCCGATGATGTGGATGAAGTGTCAGTGCGAAGCACTCTACTGAAAGCATCTTGAAGAGAAGAGACCACATCACTAGATAGGATATGTGATTTGGCTGTTTCAAAATCAGACGTAAGACCGGCCAAAAAGCTCATGACTGCCATTTGTTCGCGTTGTTTCTGCTGCACTTTGATATCAGGACTAAATGGCATTAAGGTATTAAGTTCTTCATACGTTTTTTTGAAATCCATAAAATAAGCTGTGAGAGGCTTATCTTTCATTTCTGCCCTGTAAAAGGCTTTGCACACCTCATAGATGTGGTTAAGATTACCTTTGCCAGAATACATAAATTCCAAATAATCAAAGAGTTCTTTCACAGTATCACAATGACTAACGTACCCCATGACGTCATTCTCCATGGAGTTCTGAATCTGGATAAATAATCTAGAATCATCACGAAGCCAGACAGCATTAGCAGCTCTATCAATCTCCTCCTTTGGCGGGTCATCAACTAACTGGGTGTATTTATCAATGCTTCGTAAATAACGTTTGATAGTTTTACTCCATTCAAGATAGTTAGAGCCACAAAGTTTATTCTCAGTAATTTTAAAATTAATGGGAATAACTTCGGAAACTACCAAAGGCTGAGCATGTTGTACGGTGGAAGTGTCTGTATCAGAACCAGGCATTTTTTTTTTTTGAATTTTTTTTTTTTTTGACTTTTTTTTTTGACTTTTTTTTTTTAATTGCAGAAATAAGAAGCTATGTATTAAGTAAACTTACAGCGACCAAAATACTATCCTTGAATGTCGTCGTTACTTAATAAGCAAAGTCACAGAAAGATAATACCGTTTAAGACACCTGAAAATAGTTCCAATGGATTCTGCGGCGATTGGGTCTGCGATTAGGTCTGCGAGGTCCTCTGACGGCGCGTGTGGCCTGCGGATTTCGAGTGTAAGGTCGGCGGCGGAAGGCGTGACTGCTTAGGGTGGAGGTGATGCTCTGTGAAACTGTGGATTTTGGACTGAGGTTCTGAATTTTGGGCTAAGGTTCTGGCTGAGGCATGAACTGAGATTCTGAAAAATATTGCTAAGCTAAACTGGAACAGATGGCTCTGATACCATGTTGTAAGAATTAAAGATAGAATAGTAATGAGAAGAATGATTTTTGTGTGTCTTTCATTGGAGGGTCAAGCCCATATATATATACATTACAAAGATAGAATATTCCTTTAAGATTCTATACAATAATAATATCCTAGAGTATATTCCTAAAATATTCTAAAGCATATTCTAAAGGTAGAAGAATATTCTAAAACATATTCTAAAGAATATTCTATAATGTCTTTCACACTTAACATCGCTAAATGGGTGATTGTACCATAAATTTAACACAAGTGATAGAATTTAGGGTTGGGTTGATATCATTGAATTGTGTCATAAGGTAGTTGGGCCAAACCACAATAAATACTGAATTCAACCTGAATTCATGAGGTCAACACAATGGTCAATATTTTTTTCATTCTTTCTTAGGAACTGTTACTATTGTTGCCTGTTAAGATTCTTTGTGTTTGCGCTCTGGTGTTTACGTATTAGTTTTTACGGATTTCGAATGTTCTCAGGTTCTCCGTGTTGTCAAAACCAGACAAACAACGTATACTGTACTGAATCGATTGATGAAGTATGTGCATAATCTTGAAGAGATTGGTTTGTTAGATGAAAAAGAGATGATTCATCTTCATGATGTTGTACAGGTAATGTATCATTTATTATTGTAGGCGATATCATAAGTTTCTGTAAACTTAAAACAAATCAAGTGCACAGTATGTGTAAAGAATTAAAGATATATAAACTAATGGGCTAGGGCCACCCACATCAGGAACATCAGTTTGTACTAATATCATCTATGGAGTCCCTCTGTAAATAAATCTTCAAGCTGGTGTCCATGTTGTAAATAAGATGTAGAAAGCAATCTCAAATGAAACTTTTCACTTATAAAATGATGACAAACCACCTCAATATGTTACGTTTTCCCGTCAAACACATAGATTTTCGGCAATATGAGTGGCTGATTATCACCCAAACAACTTGTTTGGCACATGAAACTTGATAACAGTCCGATTCAATGAGTTATTTATCCATAAGATTTCACATGTTAAGTGGGCCATGGAGTGTGATACTCAGACACTATATTAGATGTGCAGCTACTGAGCTACTTCTTGCTTCTTTCTTTCCACAAAATCAAGTCTCCTACAAATACATAGTACTCTGTAGCTCTCCTTTAGCAAGTGGCTTGATCGGCTAAAACTTGAAAATGTACAAGTGCCAATGTAGTAATAAAAACCGGTAAAAATACCGAGTCAAACACAAGGAAACGATGCTTATATGATTCAAAGTCACAAAGAGTTTTGGAAAAAGATTTAGAGAAAGAGAATAGATTTTAGTTTTCGAACTATAATAAAAGCAACCAAGAGTTCGGAATTACTTCTAATCGACTCCTAGCAACGAATATATGTTCTTTCACCAATTCTTATGAGTGGAATGTCTCTAAAGTATTCTAACTCCTGTTATTGCAGTGAGATTGTGATTAACTCTACGTGTAAATCCCATCACGGTTTACATTCATCTAAAAATAACCCCATTGAAGATTAAGACATTGTAAAAACCACCATATGTCTTAACCTTTAAGTGCACAATTTATTATCCAACGTTAATTGCTCAAATTAACCCAACGATATAATCATACATTGTACATTGTAGTCATACACATTAAAATATAAAGGAAAGATCATAATAAGTTGGTTGAGAACATACATCAAACACTTAGAGTACGTAAAGTTTCATCCCTAACCTTGGCTATGGAAAATTAGCCACAACAATTCATAATGAAATTACAAGTATTGAAAGGCTTATTTTGAATGAAATACATAAGAAAAATAGTACCACAATTCCAAAGATATGATGGACAATGGTTCCCCAATGAAAGACTTCTCCCAAGACCAAGGGATGCTCTTGAGATGGATATGTAGAGGTAGAGCGTAGAAAATGTGATGATTCTTGATGAGGAGGATCAAAACTCTTACATAGGTCTTCAATGGCCATTTTTGGACATGAAAGCAAGCTCATTAATAGGTTTTAGTGTTTTCTCCCAAATGATTGTGAAGCCCGTTGCCTGTTTTAATCAATTATCTGGTCAAAGCCAAGCGGCTTTTGTGAAATCCCGACGGCTTTCTCTTTTAAAATACCAAGTGTCTTCGTTCCAGGGGCCGAAAACCAGGCAGCTTCCACGTAAAATCGGGCGGCTTTTCGTAAATTAAATCAAGAATAAACTATGGCGCTGGATGTTGGGCGGCTTCTATGAAAGCCGAGCGACTTTTGGCTTTTTGGTTCCGTATGCCTTCCTTCTGTCTTGCACGACTTCTCGATGCCTAACAGGCAAAAGCCGGACGGCGTTTGGGAAAGCCGGGCAGCTTTCGCTACGTTTGTGCAGTTTTATTGACTTCGATTTTTCTTCGGGATGAGTTTGGTTGACCTTTTCTTGTCGGGATTCTTCGTGTGTGTTCTATCATCCTTGTATTTGGTCCAATCTTTCCTAGAAGTACCTTCTTGCAAAACGAGGCAAATGTGTGAGGTTTTTATTCTTTTAATAAGTATAAAAGCGTTTAAATATCATTGTATAAAACCCGTTAGGAAAACTCTTATCATGGCCTTACCTATCAACATCTAAAAAGAAGCTTTAATGTATGTGTATCTATGATTAGAATACAAAACTCTTCTTCTCTTGAAACACTTGAAATTTCTGTACACTTAAAACAATACAAGTAAATTGTACATATAAAGATATAAATAAATATTACTACCTCCGTCCCCCTGTTATTGTCCCATTGCGGTTTACGATGCTTGACTGACGATAAAGCAAACAGATCCCTGTCTGCACTAGAATTATTTTTAGAAAAAAAATTGCATATTCAGAAATTACATTAAAAGTTTTACAAAGTCGCAAAAACCAGAATCAAATTTGATAAAAATTTGATCAATAAAGTAAGAGATTAAGAGTGATTTGTGTTGACCAAATGAATAGGAAATGGGACAATAATAGGGGGGCGGAGGGAGTATATATTAGTGTGCTTGGACCATACACATTATGGCTAACAATTATATTTGATTCTTTAGAGTTTAGACATTTCATCCTAATTATTGTCTTTGAATTTATGGAGACTGACCTGAAGAAACTCTTACGGAACCCCCCTGGAGTAAAGATGTCAAGTGTTCATGATTTGATAGGTATAAATCCTTTCCTAGGAGCCCTTCCTTCCACAGTCAGTGAGACCCTAGTTGGCTGTACCAAGGAGATTATGAAGCTAAGTGGTTCTACACTGTATAGAGAAGGAGAAAAGCCAACTGGTATTTGGCTTATTGCAAATGGAGTAGTGAAGGTAATATTATGTTTTATATGATTGAACAGTTTACAGTTAACATCTGTAGCCTGCAGGTGCTTAGACATTATTAACATCCAGTATTTTTCCTTGACAGTGGACAAGCCGGATTTCAAGCCATAACCACCGGCTGCATCCCACATTTACACATGGAATTACATTGGGATTGTATGAAGTTCTTGTTGGAAAGCCATACATCTGTGATATTGTCACTGATTCAGTGGTTCGCTGTTCTTTTATTGAAACAAAGAAGTTACTTTCTGCTCTTAAATCTAATCCTACAATAGAAGATTTCTTTTGGCAGGTACAGTTTCAATTGTCGTGTTTAGTTTTTTACTTGTTTACCTAATTCAGTTACTAGCGTAAGCTAGCTTAAATTGAACGTTTAAAGATTTTCCTAATTTCTTTTGTGTTTAGGTTTTGTACAAGAGATAACATAGGAAATGAATAAACATGATCAGAAATTGTGCTTGAACATATGATAACAAATACCTGCACTTGCTGCATAAACTGATTTTAAGTAGGGTTGTGAACAAATCGAATTGAGTCGAATAATGTGATTTTGTATGTGTATTTGTTTAATTTTTTTGAATCCAAATCCGAATATGAAACGAATATTATTTTCGATTTGTATTCGTATCTGTTTAACAATACAAATAGTTAACCAATCATATACGAATATCGAATCATTTGATCATAAGTTAAATATTAGTCAAATATCACTTCAAAACAACTTTCCTATATTTCTTATGTTATAAATGCATGATATGACTTAATATGTGTTTGTAGAATTTAATTTGTAACATTACATTTTTGTTTAAAATTTAATGCATCGATGCATTTTTAGGTTGTGCACAGTATACTCAAGTGAATAAATTTATGATTACTATACATAAATATATTCAAAGTTTTTTAAATAAAAACTAGCACACATATTAGAAATTATGCCAATAATGTGTGAAATAAGTTGATAATTGTATATATCAAAGTCATACGACTCTAATTTTATGTTAGATATTTAGCATTGTTGATAAATAAATAACATCATTAGATACATAGTTTATACTACACACACATATAGTGGGTAGTTGATGCACAGATTTTGTTTATGTATAAACGAATATATATTTCATTATTATTCAAATCAAATACATAATTATTTGTATTCTTATTTCAAAGATGTTTGAACCAAATTTTTGATTTGTATTCGGATTTATATTCTATATTTTCAAATTTAAATCATAATTTATGAATCCAAATCACGAATAGAATTAAAATTATTTGTTTCGTTTACAACCCTTACTCCTTATGATACTTCTGGTTTATTAATAATTGGCTTGAAATGTGTATACATAAATGTATATAAGGGCTACACTTTGAGGGTATAGCTAGCTAGGTTTTAAAAGTTGTTATAGTGTTATTATACTATTATTATTATTATTACTATTATTATTATTATTACTATTATTATTATTATTATTATTTATATTATCACTATTATTAATCGAATATATTTGATTAACATTCGAATCGAATATAATGATATTCGTATTTGTATTTGATAACAATTCGAATCAAATTTAGTATTCTTATTTGTATTTGAATCTGTCGAATTCGAATCGTCTTATACGAATTCGAATCCCGTATCGAGTATAAATTATTTGATTCGTATACAACCCGAATTTTAAGTGCTCTGATTTTCTTACCTTCCTAAAAGATTCACCTGGCAAATTATATTTGTGAGTGTAACAAGGAAAATATTTACATTATGGAAGCATGGACTTTTTTTCTTCTGGGAACCTGAATGGCAGGATAAACTCTATAAAGAAAAGAGGGGTCTTATTACTCCTATAGTTACACGGGTGATGCCCTGAATATAAGAGATGTGTGGAATGGTTTGTAGCTCAAGTATAAGTGCTAATCAGATTTAGAAATCAATTTGGGGCTAGGGCTGTTTATAAGGGTGCACTTGACATATTCCTTTCAAGTTTGTGTTGTGCCACTTGTGTAAAATTTGTTATCTCATATACTAGCCTCAAAAAGGAATTTCCTGTTTGGATTTTAGTGGGTTACATAACTCTTCTCTTAGGCATGCGTTCAATTTGAGTTCATTAGTAAGTGTGACCTGGGCGGTCTCTTTACTCTTATACTTAAAATTTGTCTTATTTTCTTTGACCCATTGTGCCCATCTACTTTACCCTTTCCAAAGTAGTGATTCGGTTTGGTATGTATCTTATGAAGCTCAATCACTATTGGCCTCAATACTTATGGCCTACTATATATTTGATAATAAGAATATTAAGATTTGTCAGTGAATATGATGAAATAAAGAAAAATGACTCACTAAACTGTCTGCGCTTCTTTGTTATGAAGCAGCAATCAGTCCATGCAATTTTCTACGCGATTTTCATCATGGGTCATTCGAAAATAGTCTTTCCCTTTAGTACAGGGGTAAGGCTGCGTACACCTGACCCCCTACCCCACCGTAGGTAGGAGCCTTTGCGGCACTGGGGTAATGTTGTTGTTGCTGTTGTTGTTGTATCAAGATTTGTCAGTGAATCACATTTGAAGTCCCCTGTTTTATAGGAAGGTGCTACTGTTCTTGCCAATGTCTTGCTTCCTGAAGTTTTTGGGAAAGTTGGGATGCCTGACCTAAGAGCTTTTATTGCACGAAAATCCACACTGAGTACATACGTAAGGGGGGAAAGTTTCGAATTGGCTCACCATTCTATTGGTTTTTTATTAGAAGGATTTGTGAAGAGTCAAGGTGAAGATGGCCAGTTAGTATCCTTTCCTGCAGCATTATATCCTTCTTGCGAAGGGAAAAGTTCAGGGAAATCTGGAAAGGAAGGTAATATATTGTTATTCGTATTTCATAATCTCCATGACAAGATTTCTTGTTACCTTTTTAACTACTGAGCAGTTTTTGAATAATACATACTATTATTGATATGTCTTTTAACTTACAAGTTAGAACTCCATCTTATCTAAACATTCTTACAAGGCATGAATAGAGAAATAAAAATAAAAGAAATCGCTCAATAAACTCAGTAAGAATAGGTAGTACTATTTTTTGTAAAAAGTATTACTCGATTCTATAGTTTTTACATCAACGCTTCCCTCAAGCCGGGTCATATGCAAATATGCTTCAAGCATGAAATGAACTGGCCCATGGAACTTAAATTTGAACATTGAAAAACTTGAACTGATTTTCACTTGAATTTGAACTCTTTAGAAGTTAAGCTTTATCTTGACTTCTGGTTCTCACAAGAGCGTCCACGACTTAAAATTTGACCTAGTTATAACTTGACTGAACTATGATTCATGTCACACACCAGTCTGAGTTAACATCCCATACATGGTTGACTGATTGGCAACAACAGAAGTAGCACTAGCTATAGTAGAGTTGCAGTGTTGCACCTGTGAATCTTTAAAGCTCCTCATAATCAGTCTAACCATTAGGTACCTTATTGGTAATAAACTAATACTTATATGGATATGAATTTGCAACTTGATTTCTTTTCTAGACTAATATACTGCTTAAATAGGAAAATAACAGGTTATAACATAGACATAATATTTAAAGCCCACATTGGATACTCATAACAAAGGCACATAACAAAGGCACATATATAGACACATAGGCATAGACATAATTTTAAAGGCACACATATAGTAAGTTATCCAGTTTGGTTATTACCCATTTATTTGCTCTAGGAGGTATATGAAGCACGGTATAGCAGAATCATATGAATCGTATGATGACCTTAAAAGGGCACACAGCTTACTTAAGCCGGATAAAATTCATATTTTATGTTTGATAATGACGTAGGTAGAAAAACCCTGTTCAAGGCAGAATTTCCGTTAAGGAGCTTTTTTTTTACATTGACCTTCTCATTCTATTGGAGTTGATGACATTTTTTCTGTTTCTGGTCCTGCTTTCCTAGTTTGAAAATTATTTTTGTTGAGGAACGTTTGATTCTCTATATTATGTGCATTGATGAAAGCATCTTAAGTATGTAGAATAATGGGTTAGCATGCTTGTTCTGATTTGTATGGTTTGAAGTGATGTTTTGTTACAATCTCAAACATATTATTCATCAATATTCTACTATGGATAGTAGGTGCCAGGGTAGACAGTTTTTCACATCAACCACACTGTTATCAAGTTGAGACAAGAGCTAGGGTTATCGTGTTTGATGATGTTGGAGCATTTGAAACACACACAAGCTCCCATAGGATTTCATCTTCGTTTTTATTACATCCAGCAGAGCTCCAACTTAGATCACTTAGTAGAGATGGTGGGAGCCTAATGAGTTGGCCCGAACATTCGTCTTTGCCCGAAGACCATTACAGTCGAGAAGGCACTTATCGCCAGAAGAATATTCTCTCCACACTGTCAATGCACCCATGTATGTTTGGTGGTACGGTAAGTTGATCTTTTCCTTACTATAATACTCCCTCCGTCCCTTAAAACTCTGTCATCTTTCCTTTTTGGAACGTCCCAAAAAACTTTGCCACTTTCCCTTTTAATCAATTAATTGTGGTTTCTGTTATTTCTTTCTCCTCTGCACAAACCTCAATCACACAGTTTTTACTTTATTATTCTTCGTGCCGGTCAACTTTGGCAAAGTTTTAAGGGACGGAGGTAGTACTTCATATGCGATACGATCATACGAATGTCACCTTTGCTTGTTACTCCTGGACTGCATCGTATAGATTTACTGCTATGGTATTGGGGTATTACATCCACCATTGCAGTAAGACTTGTTCCACCACATATTGGTTTATTCTATAGTTTCAAAAAAGATATGATACGGTAAGGGTTGTAACACACACAAAAATTGGGATTTATTATCCAAAAGAAAGTCAAAGATGAAATTAAGTACTCCCTCCGTCCCATAAAATTCTTCCCGGTTTGACTTGGATCGGAGTTTAAGAAAGTGGAAATAATGTTAGTAATAATAAAGCTTACAGTAATTTGACAGTTGCTATCCTTGGCCAATGGTGGTGGTCGCTACTGTCTGACAATTTGCCTCCAAAGGCACATGCTATATGATTCACTATTTTTTGGCTTAAAAATATGATGGAAATCATTGAATAAAGCAAAATGGCTCACTAAACTGTTTGCGCTTCTTTGCTATGAAGTAGCTGTCAGTCCATACAATTTTGGACGCGATTTTCACTATGGGTCATCCGGAAACAGTCTCTTTGTGCTTTAGTACAGGGGTAAGACTGCATACATCCGACCCCCCTTACCTCACCGTAGGTGGAAGCTTTTGCGGCACTGGGGTAACCGGGTAAATGATGATGATGAAGGCACGTGCTATATGCTGCTGTCGCTGACAGCAAGTGATATTGTGTCGTGCATTGTCACCCAAGGCATCGTAGATATTAGTAGCAGCAGTAGTAATATACTGCTGCACAGACATGCTTTGTTGTTCTTTTAAGTCTATATTTGATCACAAAAGACAAATTCATTGGTTCCGTTGTTTTCTCTTCCCAAGCATGATTGGGAAGAGAAAGACAACCAAGATTGTTTCAGCAACTGAACTTGTGCGTTAATGCGTTATTTTAATCCTCACCCCAACCTCATTGCTAGTGCTAGTTATGGTGTTGACTTCGCTACATCTTATTGATTTGAATAATTAGACAAGCAGCACCAAAGGGCCAAAAGACAAAAGCATTACTTCTCAAAGTCTGTCATATCCAAGGATTTCATCAAATGTTGCACGGCCTCTTGTCTCTGTGAGATCAGAGGGATCTTGCACCATTTATAAGCATGTTGATGTTCAGGGAACCAACAAAGAAGACAGTGTTACTAAACTTGCAACCCATGAGGGTAGAGATCAATCAAGTGATGAATCTGGTGGTGAGGATGAACACATTGTGAGAATTGATTCACCAAGCAGACTATCCTTCACTCAGGCTTCTTAACTCTTTCTTAATAATGAAAGCCCCATATAATTGGTAATGCTTGTGCCTTCTCTTTTGTGTAGGAAAATAAAATTCGGTACGACACATGTACAGCTGTAAAATACATAAAATTATGTCATGCTACAAAAATATATGAAGTTTAGTCAGCAAAATAGCAAATGATGTGGGCGTATTATTATGTGCAATAAGTGGCCTAATCCTTGCAATTAAAATGTCCCTACTGTTTTTCTTTTGATATGCCCTAATCTCCCATCTAGGCATGTACCGGGCACGGGCCGGGCCGGGCTCCGGGCCGGTTCAAGCTGGACTTTTTTTCCAGGATGTTGGGCCCGGAACCGGCCCGGGTTGATACCGGGTCTAGGCCGGTCCGGGCCCGGTTCAAGGTAATTTTTTTTGGCTTTGTAATTAACCCCGACCCCCTCCCTCACCCCACCCCCAACCCCCCCCCCCCAAACACCCAGCCCTACCCAAGGAAAATAAAAAAAAATCGAAAAAAAATGATCCGGGCCGGTTCATGAAAATCAAGGCCCGAGCCTGACCCCCAGACCCGCCCAAACCGGGCTAAAGCCCGGAACCGGTCATCCGGGCCCGCACAGTAGCGGGACGGTCCGGTTCCTTGGCCGGTTCGAACCGGTTGGGTCCATCCCTACTCCCATCAGCTCAAAATTTTCAATAGATATGCCCTAATATAGTGGCCTAATCCGTGCTACTTCAAGATAGCCACCAACTTCGATCTTCTCCCATTGTCACAGGAGCAGCAGAAGTTTTCTGTCCAGAACTTGTCCACCAAGAAGATGCGGATCATAGGAGGACTGGATGCTGGTGGAGTGTGTAATTGGCCTATGGGTAGGAGGGGATCCAAGAGGTTGGGGCGGAGCTGACTTTTTGTGTGAATGTGGAGGGTTGAATTTTTTTTTAGTTGATATACTACGTATTATGGTTTCTTACCTTACTTTGGTTCAAAAGTTAAGACCTGAAATTTAGGTTTATCAAAAGTTGAGATTATTTTTTTCTTCCCAATCTTGAAGAACATTTGATGCACACATGTGTGAGTGTACAGAGTTTAAGCACGTGAACCTCATTTATAAAACTCCATTTGCATCATGTGTGTGCTTAGGGTGGACCTGGTTTGGATCCGGGTCTGGCAATGTTTCGGTCCAGACGAGGTCCGTTTTGAGCGGTTCCGGGCCTGGGACCGGACCGGACTGTCCTAGAGTGGTTTACGGTACCAGTTTGGCAGTTCCCAATTTTGGGACTGAACCGGGTGGTTTCGATCCTGCTTTAGGTCTCGGTCCGATTTTTTTTAAATCTTCAGAAGGCCATAAAGCTAAAAAATAATGGGAACCGGGTCCACGACCAAAACCAAATCGATTGGGTACCCGGAAGGCCGGAACCGCCCTAGAATCAGAAAAAGCGGTTCGGGCTTGGGTCTTGAGATTTTTTTGGACCTGGGCCTTGGCGGTCTTCTCCCAGAAACCGGGAGCGGACCAACCTAGGTCCATCCCTATGGTTGCTGCTGAGTCCTGAGACTGTAACAGAGTTTTATATAATACTCTGTATGATCTTGAGCAGCCCACTCTCAAGGCCACATTTTCTCATTAAAGCTAGAATATCAATCAGTTCTCACGACCATTGTCATCAAATCTAGATATTTAAGTTGTCAAGAATAAAATCAATTGGAATCAAACACAAATACGTAAGTGTATACGAATTACGAAGTATTAGATTGTTCGTACAGCCATTTTTATAAAATGACCCGGAGGTTTGAGTTACTTATGTAAAAATAATTGCACTCAATCACATCCTCTCCCAAGCAGATGAGGATGATGATGATATTAATAATAATAATAATAATAATAGTAGTAGTAAACAATTTCGCTTAGAGGTCTTTTGATGAAATGTTGGTTGAAGCGATTGAGTATGCTCAATTATTAAAAAAATATTTTACGGTTCTACCAATAAATTGAAGAAAAAATTATACGTGTTTATTTAGCTAAGATGATTTTGTACAGTTAATTTAGCTAATTTGACTAGAAAAGTAAGTCCAACTTTACTTATTTTGATTATTACACAATTCAACACGAAGAATCAAAAGTTACGTGTTTATTAAAAAGTTGGCTGATAAGACTGATAAAATGAAAATAAAGGTTATCAAATGAGCTCTTAATTTTTTCTAGAATTTCACTAAAATATAATTACACTAAAATGATCTTTTACAGTAATTTTAGCTAATTTAACTAGAAAAATAAATCGAACCTTAATTATTGTGATTAACACACAATTCAACTCGAAGAATAAAAAGTTACATGTTTATTGAAAAGTTGATTGATAAGTTGAGAATAAAAATTATCAATCGAGTTCTTAATATTTTCTATAATTGCACTCAAATAGAAGTTATGAATAATAAATCTTTCTCGGATAATTGTCCGGTCGCTTCAGGACCTTAGGAATGGATGACATTATTTTTTTATGAATAATAAATCTTAACACAACTTCAATTCACTGACATACAATTATTGATAGAGAGAATTCCCTAAATAAGAGTAAAAAAAGTTTTGAAATTCCAGAATAGGAGTATCATGTTTTTTATTCCTTGAATATGAGTAAATTTCTGTCAAGTTTGGCATTATTAGGCTTTAAAACATGACATTTTTTCCCAAACTTGGCAGATTACTTCTATTTAGGGAATACAAACATGATACTCTTATTTTAGAACTTCAAAACGTTTTTGCTCCTATTTATAGCAATTTCTATTATTTATAGTCCATACATAACTTTGAGTCTCAATTCAATTTCACACAACGTAACCCTTGTGTCGTACCTGAGCAATGTTTTATACGTAGTATTCACCTCCCCATGAAATGAACGAACTCTTTGTGTTCTTATAATTAATGATCTAGAGTTTAAGCATTCATCTATAATGACTTCTCCAAAGAATGCAACGTGCATGTATCTGATATAGGGTTGGACTCGGGCCGGGTGGCCCGACCCGGAACCGGCCCGGGACCGGTACTGTTCCGGCCCGGCCCGAACCGGTGACCCAGTCAGTGACCGGTCCGGGTAGGCCCGACCCGGTGGGTTTCCGGTCCGGGCTCGGGTCACCCATCACAAGGCCCGGCCCGGCCGGGCCTGGGCCCGGTTCGGGCCAAATTTATTTATTTTTTTGGTTTTTTTCATTTGTTTGGGCTCCACCGGGTTGGGCTTGATGTTTAGGAGGGGTTTGGGGGTGGGGTGAGGGGGGGGGTCAGGGATGGGTAGCTAAGCAAAAAAAAAAAAAAAATTAACCAAACCCGAGGCCCGGCCCGGACCCGGTGGCTACCCGGGCCGGTCCCGGGTCCAGCTATATAGAACCGCCGGCCCGAGTCCAACCCTAATCTGATAGTTTGATAAAATTGTTTAAAAGCGTACTCTATTGAAAAGTAAAGTATATATTCTGAAAGTTTTCATTTGATTTGTTGTCTTTAACATTTTAGATTTTGAAAAAATATCAGTATGTTTTGGATCACTTGAAATACAATACGAAAATGACAAAATAAAAACATTCTTTGAGATTTGCTCACATCCATGTTCCTTACCTTTAGTACCTTATTACACGTCCCTTGTGGCGATCAAAGCAATAATAGTTATGATCCCCCTCATAAGTGAAGTATCACATTACAATATAATGTATGTGACAGGTTTATGTCATTATTTCATCATTTATTTATATTCTATCAACTTAATTAAAATTTCTAAATTGTCAATGCATGTGGACAAAGTACGACACCTCGAAGGCCAGGTACCATAGTATTATCCCATTGTTTATTTATTTATTTTTCTCATAAGACTGCATACATCTGACCCCCTTACCCCATCGTAGGTGAGAACCTTTAATTTGCGGCACTGTGGTAATGATGAATGAATGAATGGATTATTCACGTCTTAACGTATATAGTTTAGTTTTTTGTTGTTGTTACAAAATTGACATGCTAATGTTGATACACCTAATCTACAAGTACTCAAGTACTTTTGATTATTAGCTATTGTTTTGTGTGTGTTCTATTTATTTATAAATTAATTAAACTTTGGCGAGATGACGAGCTACCAAGTTGAGTTTTCTGTATAACAATGAACCAATTTTAGATCAAGCTACGATAGTATGATGTCAGCATTTTTATTCGATCTTATCTTTAGATATCAGGAGTGGCACCATCAAATACTTCTCTACATTTTATAATAAAATTTAAAATATAAAAATGTATTTTGTCATATGCATTGCACGGGTAAAACTACTATTTGTATACTCGGTTATAAAGATCATATATATAAACATCACTTTCTAACTTTACCATTACATTTTAAAAATTTATTTCTTATTAACATACTATTCAATTTTGATATATTACATATATCAAATTCATAGATTTTTTTTGTATACTTTAAAGTTCAAACTCGCTTTTTTCAGGCTCATATAATATATGATTTAACTTACAAATGTCTCACAACAACCCTTTACACCACGTATTATATATATACTCCATATGTATTGATACTATTATATATTCCTCCCTCCCACACTCCGTTAAAGTTGTCTCATTTATCTTTTTGGTCAATTTCATTAAGATCATCTTATACAAAATCTGGTAATGTTTTTGTAATTGTAAATCTTTCTTACTTTATCAATTTGAGGTGGTTCCCGATGTATTTTTTGCTCAAAATTTTTGTGTATGTTCTTCATCTAGTCTAATTTATTCATACCAAATTTGAGCAAAAAATTCACTCGGAAAGGTAGGTTCAATGCGAAAATTTTTATATACTAGGAGGCTGACGATTAAACCCTCTTTAATTTGTTGATTAACTTGCGTCAATTAGTAATCATCCATTTGTGATTGGTAGTAACTTGAAGCTTCTATCCTTGCAACGACCTTGTTTGCACTTACATGGAGTCTTGTCTCAGACACCCGTGCTTCGCAGCCTTATTCGCAGTAGTACTCACGAGTTTCCAGCTTAACTCATTGGCTTTCGGAATTAGTAGTTTGGAAGGGGAGACCTGGTCGCAGCTGACTCGAGACGTCTTGGAATCGGCCAGGGAACCTGAGTTCTTCGATTGGTTGAAAAGGGTGCGTAGGAGAATCCATGAGTACCCAGAGCTGGGGTTTGAAGAACACCGGACGAGTCAACTCGTGAGGGATGAGCTTGACTCACTCGGAATCGAATATTCCTGGCCGGTGGCCAAGACCGGTGTAGTTGCTACGGTTGGATCCGGCGCTAAGCCTTGGTTTGGCTTAAGAGCTGACATGGATGCCCTCCCTATTCAGGTATTTCTTTAGTATTGCTTTCTCGAAATTCACTGCCCAATATTCGGGTTTCTCTCAAATACGAGCATTATCTAAAGTCTAAACGGTTCTGGCTTTTCCAAAAAAATTGTAGCAATTACTTGCATATTTTTAGTAGAGAAAGTGAAACCAGAAAGATGTCAGTGCTATGGGCCGGCCCTATGATCTCCTTTGGCCTGGTCATTAAAAGTTAAAACTAAGATCTTATAGGAGTTGAATTATGCACTTCTATCTCTAGAAAAAAAATCCTTTTATTATCCATGTGTTAAACGTAAATCCTTTTGATTCTCTATTTTGTGTATATGATCTTATATACTTTAGTTTGCAAGTACATAAGTTATGATTATTGATACTAATTTAAGTATTATTACGGGAGGGTGAACTATATAACACTCAAACCTGTAATTAGAAATCAATTTTGGGAGGAGTTAGTAAAATGTTTGGTTTGGTTTTACTAAACTAGTGGATAAATGGACTCCTGTAGCACTTTCTTGATCATTTATTTTGAGGGAGAACATTTTCTTTGGATGTAGTAGTTGATGGTTTTTTTCTTCCCAAGGAATTGGTGGAATGGGATCATAAAAGCAAGATTAATGGTAAAATGCATGCTTGTGGCCATGATGCTCATGTAACAATGTTGCTTGGAGCAGCAAGGTTGCTTCAGAAAAGAAGGAAGACATTAACGGTAAGTTGTAAACTAGTGTAAACAAATATACCAACTTTTTATTGAAAATCAACCAAAGTTGGGGTTTTATAAAGAATTATATGTACTTTCAAAATTGAAGGGCACGGTTAAGCTTGTCTTTCAACCTGCTGAAGAGGGATTTGGTGGCGCCTATGATATGATAAAGGAAGGAGCTTTAGATGGCTTTGAGTCCATTTTTGGATTGCATGTTCTGCCACATATACCAGTGGGTAAAATTAGTTCAAAACCAGGGCCACTGCTTGCTGGATCAGGTTTTTTTGTGGCTACATTTCATGGTAAAGGTGGTCATGCAGCATTTCCGCATCAAACTAAAGACCCAGTTCTCGCTGTTTCTATGGCAATCATTGCACTCCAACATATCGTTTCTCGTGAAACTGATCCTCTAGAGCCTAGGGTATTATTCCACTCCCCTCTCTTTCCTGTTTTATGTTTTATTAGTTCCCATTTGGTAAACTACTTTTTGCTTATTAGTCTTATCAGCGATATTCTTTCCAAATACTAATTTTTCATTTAGAACACTGAATCAGTTAATAATGGAAAAAATTAGGGTTGGAGGTACTATTTTAGGTTTTCTGCTCATATAAGTTTTGCATATTTCAGCACCTTCAGTCATGAGTCATAACTTCATCAATTCCAGCCAATTTTAGGCATACCAAAGGCTCTTAGACACTAACTAGTATAGTACCCGTGCGATGCACGAGCACAAGTGTATTTGCATTTTGTTTATAATGTAAAATTGTTAATAATGAAATATTGAAATATTTATGGAGATAATATTTATCCAAATAACAGTAAAGCCCACGTATGATATAGTAGTATAACCCATGTATGGTATAGTAGTATCAAAATAATGTAATGCTAAGTACTAATTAGTAATGTTTTTTTTGGTCATCAACTCCGGACATTCTTATTAATCCAAACAATCAGTAGCCAAAAGGCTAGCAATACAATCAGGCACCATATAATAGCTACTGTGCTGATCTGGGAGATTTACGTATCCTCTTGTTATTGCATGAGCCACACTGTTCGCAGATCTATTACAATAAGAGAGAAAAATCACTCTTAGTATCTAACACTCTCTAATATCATCAATAATAATATGTAAATACGAGCACCCTCCCCCTGATTTTATGTTTTTCACCACTGTCATGGCATCTGATTTGAACTCAACTTGATCCCATCCTTCCCGTATAGCTCCCTCCATAGCTTCCTTCAGCCCATAAGCTTCCGTCTCTGCCACTGTCCAATTCACCGCCGCCGAGCCCCCTTGTGCCTTCAAGAAATTCCCTTCATCATCTCTTGCCACCCAACCCCAAGCTCTTACACCCCTGTTCCATTAACCGCGCCATCAACATTAATTTTTATGAAATCTTTCTTTGGTCTCTTCCACTTTTCCTTCCCCTTGGACTGTTCGACAGTTTGCATCCCCTTGTTCTTGAGCCTCCTTCCAGCTTGCCAACATTCCTGCAGCTCCATTAAGAACACTAGTTGTGTCATGCTTTTGGTCCTTCCACACCGCATTATTTCTACGTTTCCAAAGACTCCAGAGCAGCGCCATAAATCTACTCTTCTTTTCCTCCTCCCCCATCTCAATACCCCTCTGCATCCATTCCTCTATCGGCTTATCCTCCTCAATATTTATGCCAGCTTCCTGCCAAACCGAACGGACCCAGCTGCAATTCCGAAATGCATGCTCCAGGGATTCAGTCGGAGCATCACATAATTTGCACCCGTTCGTTACTCCTATACCTCTCTGGCGTAATTTATCCACCGTAGGGATCGTCCAATCCAACACCTGCCAAATGAAATATTTAAATTTAGGAGGTACCTTGGATGACCAAAGTTGCGACCAAACACCGTTCGCCACCCCTGTCGGTTCTTCCATCTGTAATCTGTAGCAACTTTTCACAGAATAAATCCCATTGGATTCGCCCTTCCACCAGTATCCATCTGCTTGCTTTATTTCCTGCACTGATAGGGATACTTAAAATTCTTCTTCTATCTTCCTCATTAAAAATTGCCCCTATTCTATCTTCATTCCACTTCTTGCCAGTAAAATCTCTCAGGGTAGCAACATTCATATCCCGCACCCCCTGTGGTTTTGTTGAAGTTATTCTTCCATCATCCTTCCTCGGCAGCCACGCATCAGCCCACACTTGTACGTCTATGCCATTCCCAACTCGTCTCCTTGTGTTTCTCTTCAACAAATTCTGTGTTTCAAAAATACTTCTCCACACAAAGGAAGGATTATTTCCCAACTTAGCATTAAGAAAGTCAGAATTGGGAAAATACCTTGCCTTTAAAACTCTCCCCATGAGACTGCCTTTGTCGTTAATCAACCTCCACCCCTGCTTGGCTAACATAGCTAGATTGAATTCCCTTAACTGCCTGAACCCCAGTCTACCCACCTCCTTCGGTTTACACAAATTCTTCCAACTTCTCCACCTCATTCCTTTCTGATCTAGCTTCGTCCCTCTCCACCAGAACCCATTCATCAGTTTTTCAATCTCATCACATAACTCCTAGGGCAGTAGAAAGACATTCATGGCATAAGAGGGCATTGCCTGGACCACGTTTTTCAGCAAAACCGCTCGTCCAACCCTTGATAGAAAACGGTTATTCCAGCTCTTTATTCTACTATGGATCCGGTCCTTCAAATAACTCAAAATAGCCCCTTTATTTCTTCCTACCATTGCCGGCAGTCCCAAATACCGCCCATGCTCACCCTCTGCAAAAATCCCCAATTTCTGCCTGCACATATCTCTGGTCTGCTCTGCCGTATTAGGGTTTAAGGGCTAAAATAAACTGAAGACTTAGCAAAATTCACCACCTGTCCGGACAGCTCTTCATAATAATTTAACATACTTTTAACAGTATCACATTCGGCTGGTGTGGCCTTAAAAAATAAAAAACTATCATCTGCAAAAAAAGGTGTGAAACCTTCGGCGCCCCTCTGCAAACCGCCACCCCATGCATATCTCCTCTACCCTCAGCCCTCCTCAAAAGTGAACTCAGGCCCTCAGCCACAAGTATAAATAAGTAAGGGGACAGAGGGGGTCCCCTTGCCTCAGCCCTCTACTCGGTGTAATCGACCCCAGTATTCCCTTCTCAAATTGGACGTAGTAGCTGACTGTACTGATACACTCCATTATGAGACCAATCCAACGGGCATCAAAACCCATTCGCCCCATGATTTTCTCCAAAAATCTTCAGCTCACTCTATCATAAGCTTTACTCATGTCAAGCTTTAGAGCCACAAAATCCTCTTTACCCCCTTGTTTTCTCTTCAAACAATGCTGAGTCTCAAATGCCACCACAATGTTATCAACTATCGACCTTCCTGGAATGAATGCACCCTGGTTTTCTCCAATCAAATCGTCCAATAGATCTTTCATGCGATTAGCCAGGACTTTAGAAAAGATTTTATATACCACGTTGCATAAAGCAATCGGTCTCCAATCCCCCATATTCTCAGGTCTCTCCTTCTTTGGAATCAGAACAATATTAGTGATATTTATATCTCTTGGAATTCTTCCACTATCAAAAATACCTCTGCACATTTCCACCACCTCCGGACTCACAATGTCCCAAAACTTCTGGAAGAAAGCCGGATTCATCCCATCCATACCTGGTGCCTTTTCCGGATGCATGTTAAATGCGGCTTCCTTTACTTCCTCCGACGTGATCTGCCATAGTAGTCTGCCGTTTTGCATCGAACTCACCGTTCCCAGCGGACCAAGGACCTCCTCAACATCTGCCCGAGGCTGCTCTGTAAATAACCCAGAGAAATAATTATGTACCATGTCCGCTACCTCTTCCCTGCCAGTCGCCCAGCTTCCGTCCGGCCTCCGTAATCCCTGTAGTTTATTTTTCCTCCTGCGCGCCTTGACTGCATTATGAAAGAAATAGGAATTAATATCACCTTCTCTCGGCCAGAATTCCTTCGCTCTCTGCCTCCAATATTGGTTTTCTTTCTCCAACAAAGAATTCAGGACCAGTCTAGTGCGGATATATTCAGTTACACTAGCCAAATCCTCCTTCCATTTTAACCACGCAATTCGTTTTTTGCAGGCTTGTATTTGGTGCCGAAAACCCTTATTTCTACTGCCATCCCATTTAGCAAGTTCTTTTCCACAGAAAAGAAGCCGGTCTCCCACTTTCAACTGGTCTCCTGCTCTCCAGCTGTTTGCCACAATAGTTCTGCATTCCTCCTCCTTCAGCCAATTGTTCTCAAAACGAAACCTCTTCTCCGCCTTACCATGACATGTTGGCCTAATACGAATAAATATAGCCATATGATCATTTGTAGTGGCTTCTACCGAAATTGCTCTTGCCTCCCTGAAATTATCCCACCAAGAGTCATTGACTAGGATTCGATCAAGCTTTTCCTCTACCCAGTTTGGAGTTCCTTTCCCCCGTTCCCATGTCCACTGGTATCCGTCAAACGGAAAATCTCGTAATCCACAAGCTGCCACTGCGTCTTTGAATCCACTCAAACGCCACGATGGATGCGGTATTCGGCCCTTCTTCTCCGACTCGTACATTATATCATTCATATCTCCCATGACCAGCCATGCAGAAGAATTACTTGCAGCGAGGCGTTGCAGCAGATCCCACGCCGCCCGCCGCCTCACTGCCTCCGGATATGCATAGTAGCCGGTGAATCTCCACATTAGTCCACCTTCCATGTTACAGACCTGGCAAATGGCAATCGACAAAATTGGCATTAGATTCCACCACCGTTACATCGTATTCTTCATTCCATCCCAGAATAATTCCTCCTCCTTGTCCTTCCGCGTTTGTACCCTCGCTGTTTGCAAATCCTAGCATACGAAGAATGTCCTTCGCACGTCTGCAACGTAATTTCGTCTCCATCAAAAATATAATTGAAGGTCTGTTCCGCTGCACTAGATCCGATAAACACTGTACCGACGCCGGGTTTCCCAATCCTCTGCAATTCCATGCTAAAACTCATAATTCCGATCTCCACCAGTAGCAGTGAGTCTATTCGTAGAAAACCTGGACCTCGGCGCTGTACCGCTGATCGGAGCACCACCGGATAAAAAACTAGGCGGTGCCGTTGCCGGCAGCCCTAGAAGTTTTCAGCTTTGCACGTATATAATTAGTAATGTTAAATAGTGTTAATTATTCAAATGATACATTATATTAGTAAATTATATTAATTATAATTTTTAAATGATGTAATGTTAATGCTGTGGTGAAAGAGGCTTATACCAAAAATTACCATCTTCGAAAAAATAAGTAGTTCAAACATTCTGTAGAGTAAAACCCAACAAAATAATACTCCGTACGTAGTATACAGTACATAATAATCAGAACGTTGATTCAGCATGAATATTCAATATGAATACACAATATGTACAACACTGGATTCAACAAAGTAAATTCAGATAACTACAGATGTTATACATGAAAACACAAACTTAGGCAAAACTTAATAACAACGTACTGACACAACAATGATTAAGAACACCATAGTATAACAACAAATGCTGTGTATGAATACACAAACTTAAGACACAACAATGACTAAAAAACACCATAGCATAACAGTGCCTTCCACAATAATCATTGCCAATCTTAGAGAAGTAGCTGTAAATTCAGACCTTTTCAATCTTCACATGAACATTTGCCTTGGTCTTCCTTGACATTTCCTTCTGTGTTTCATCTTCCCTAGCAACCCTTTTGCCTTTTGAGCGGACGGACAAATTCTGGGTAAAAGTCTCAATTGTAAGGTCTACTGTACCATCTTTGAATGCCTCATTATCAAGCTCCTTTGCCTCAGTTACATCCTCAATGCTTTCCAGATTCTGTATTGTGATAAAAAAATGTGTTAATAATTTTTTAGAGCAACTACTGTTATTTTAATTGATTAAAATTAAATAACAAATAAACCTTAGTTTGTGAGGATGTTGCCTATGAAGCAGTAGCCTGCGATGTTTCCCCAATGTATTTTTAAATTGCTTCAGTGCATGTTTTGAACCCCAGTGTACATTTCATCATTCTTTGCCTGTTAATTTTTAACAAGTAAAAAAAGTAGACATTTTAGTACGGAGTATATGTTATGTGTAGAATATCAATTACCCAGGATCATCCAAAACCACATCATATAGCTTTTGACATTCACCAATGTATTCCTGTGGCCCAGGAAAGTGAATCAAATGGATGCTCCCTATTACATCTGCAGTATCAATTTATGTTTCGTTTTTGTTGTTGTTAAAAACATCTATTCAAAAAACATTAGAAATACAAAATACATGCCTGATAGTTCTGCTTCTCAATTTGAGAGAGTTGTTTTTCATTTGCTGATGACGGTGGTGTTTAATGTAGTAGGAGGCGGTTAATTCAGAGTTGAATAAGGTGAACGTGTGAGATGGTTACACATGATGGAGTAGAAAGTGCTAAATGGAACTGCCATTTGTATTACGTGTCAAAATTAAAAAGCTAGATAGGTTAGGCTTTACGAATTACTGTGTTTTCTGATTTTAAAAAGTAATTTTATCACGTGCGTACCCATTACATCTATCAGGCAGTAGGAGGGAATAAGGAATTAGGCGCGAACAGGTTTTGTTCAGCCGATTCCATTTTTATATATAAAGATATGGCATCAGAGTTTTAAATTGTGAAAGCATTCATCGTACATGATAGGGGCTAACTTCCCTTTGTCGGTGCATAGGTTGTGACAATTGGATTTGTGGAGGCAGGTCAGGCTGGAAATGTGATACCTGAACAGGTAAAGTTTGGCGGAACTTATAGGTTCACAACTTCAGAAGGTTGTTCTTATCTTCAACGAAGGATCAAAGAGGTAAATGACAATGTCGAACCAATCATTCCTCTCTTTTGTTTCAGCTGAGTCTGCAATTACCTCAATGTCAATATTTGGTTTCGTGTTATAGAGTATTAGAGTCCCATATCAGACAAGTAAATAAAAGCTGATGGATTAATAAGAGTATAAGACCTTTGGTTCAGCTAGCTAATAGATCAGATCCAACATTTTATTGTGGTTTGGCTCAGATTTCTTGTGGCCCAATCGAGCGACCTCATCCCAATTGTAAATTCTAAAAGTATGTTCACAAAAAAATCCTCAGCTTGTTAGCATAATTTTGGAAGTAGCCATCATTTTCTGTATGCATCGTCACACATTAGACCATATGAGGTGAATGGTCCTAGTCCTACGAACTTATTTCATGAGAGCGAATTTTTAACAATTGCACAGATCATAGAAACTCAAGCAGCCGTGCACAGATGTACTGCCACAGTTGATTTCATGGAGAAAAAAACGATCTACCCACCAACCATAAACGATCTTGCAATGTACAAACATGCTAAAAGAGTTGGGGAACTGATGCTTGGTGAGGAGAATGTGGAGCAATGCCCAATGTCAATGGGAGCAGAAGACTTCAGCTTCTACTCGCAAAAGATGCCAGCTGCCTTCTTCAATATCGGTGCGAGAAATGAGACAATGATGCCTGTACAAGGATTGCACAATCCTTACTTTGTTATTGATGAAGAAGTTCTGCCCATAGGTGCAGCTTTCCACACTGGAGTTGCTATTGCTTACTTAGAATTACATGGCCGTTTGGATGAAGAACAATAGAATGGTGTTTCACTCAGCTTACCATTTTGATTAATTAAATCTTTTCTTGTGTTATCATGTCCATATTTGAAGGCCTGCATTTAGCTCAGTTTGTGAGCTCAAGTATATAGCTAACGCATACAAAACTGAGGGGTGGACAAGAACCAGAATGTTGTATATAAGTTTTTCAGTTCTATTAAATGAAGATGGACAATGTCCATCTCTATAGGCAAGTACAACCCATTAACCGACAATTTGACATAGGAGCCCATCATAATAGTGCCTAGTGGTCAAGATTTTAATCCCAACAAAAAATCATCCACTTTTAGTTTTAGAGCATATTCAATACAAAGACGTGAAATTTATATTGAATAAATAGGTACGTAATTACGTATATTTCCAACTATAATCAACTGAAAAATACGGAGTAATTAATGAAAAGGGGTTTTTATTAAGACAATTTCCAAAAATATGACTACATTATCATTAGGACAAAAATGTTATTAAGAAGGTGATATTAATGTCATTGCCATTTTAATGTCACTGTAGCCACCACCTGTGTCACTGTAGTCGTCGTCCGTGTCACTGTAAATCATATTTTTGGAAAATTGAAAAAAAGTCATATTTTTGTCATTGAAAAGCCCGGTGGTTATATCCATGTCATTCTTTCTAATGAAAATCACTCTTTCACGAGTGCCAAATTAATGTTCGATGAAAACACACTATATAAAATTAAAATCAATTTCAAGTACATCGACAAAGAGCTTCGTATCTATAAATTACCATGAAACTATGGTTATAACCTAATAAGAGGCACGAGAACTCGAATCCAAAATGATCACTCTTCTCCTATCGTAGAAGATTATGTCACATTTCGGTGGTCACGAGAGTTCGAAGGTCTACGCCATTTGACGGCATACCTGGAGGATAAGGTGGAGGCACTAATGATGAGTGCTCCACGACTGACTTGCATTACAGAAAGTTCTCTCTCAAACGTCAAGCTAGTGACGTTAAAGAAGCGCTTCTTGGGAGGCAACCCAGGTTTTTCATAACTTTGTTTGTTTATTTTGTGTGATTGCAGGTGGTGCTTCAATAAATAAATTGTGAGTTGAACGCTTTGACCCGATCTCAAAAAAAAACTGATCATGGATGATATTTTTAAAACAATTTTATTCTTGTTTTCATTATTCCTCTTCACAAAATCTTTTCAAAACTCAAGTGTGAGGAAAGAACCAAAAAAAAATGTGCCTTTATTTCTAAAACTTTGTGCATTAAAATGAGACCTCGAGGACGAGGTCCAGCTCAAGTGTGAGGAGGTTATGTTTTACACTCAAATAGTTAAAACTTTGTTTTAGATCAATCTTTTTACTATTTGTGATGTGAACCATTCACCTCTCAATTGTTAACAATCACATAATAGCTTAGAGGATCACCCTTATTATAAAAATTTACTTTTATTATTATTTTTAGAAAACTTGAAATTGTTATGAGTTTTGGTTGAGAATGTAAAGGGCTAATTTTGTTTTAATAGGACATTCATTTTATTCATAAAAAATACTAGTATTAATAAATCTCTTCAAAACTCATTGTTATAGGACAATTCCATCTCCGAAAAGGGGTTCTGTTTCATTCGCTAATCATAGTCTGTGAGAATGAAATATGCATCTACCATGGGATAACACCGCCAACAAGAGTGGACAAGAGGCAAAAAAGACATAATTTGTGAATAAGATAAATGTCCAAATTAGAATAATGAAAACCTTGGGATAAGGTATTGATTGGTGGTTTAACATAATCAATAGTTTTTATAAAGTAATAATAATTTTAAATTCTTGTATTTTGGGTGATTTTTCTAAAATGTTTAAAAATTGAAAATAAAATAAAAGGTTTTTGTTTCTATTTCTTTAATAGCAACTCGATTGTAATACAATAAGGTTTTACCTTTTTAGTGTGTTTGCAACTGATTTGTCGCTTGAGGACAAGCAACGCTTAAGTGTGAGGAGATTGATAAGTCCATTTTTGTACTTATTTTTCTTATCAAAGTTAAGCGATTTTGGATTGAAAAATAGAAAAACAAGGCATGTTTTATATATTTTGGTTCAAGTTTCGTGAAATCAGGTAAAAACCACGTCTATGATATCTTTGACGAAATTCCGGGTCAATTAAGCACACAATGAGTCAATTTGAGTGAAAAATGATATCATATCGAAAGAAGGAAGCAGAATTTCAAAGTGGTCCAGAAGGGAAAGTTGAAGAGTACAAAATACAGAACAAGATGGTCAAACAACCTCATAGGCGGCCAAATAGGCGGCCAAAAAATGGAGGCCTTCGCGACCGCCTACGGAAAAATCAAAAAATTAGGCTTTGACTCGAAGCGGAAAGAAGACCGAAGGCTTCGACCGAAGGCGGCCAAATAGGCGGCCAAAAATGGAGGCCTTCGCGGCCGCCTACGAGAAAAGACGACAAAGCCAACAACCGTCGGTGCGAAAAGACAGCAGGCGGACAGACAGAAACGGCAGGCGGCCGCCTTCCGTGGCCGCCTGCGGTGAAGTGACGTGCGGCACGTTCGACTGCCGGTGATGGGACGGAAGGCGGCCGGAGTAAGGTGGCAGGCGGCCGCCTGGTTGGCCGCCTACGGTATTTTTGCTGCTATAAATAGCCCGATTTTTCCTCTTCCCAAACACATCATTCTTAGCCCGAAAACTAGTTCAAAAAGGTCTTCTTCTTCCTCTTCAAAGCTCGAATTTCCACCATTGTTGCACCTTCAACTTCAATCTTTCATATCTTTTTCATTTTAGCTCCAATTTGTAAGTTCTTTATATGTATTTTCATCTTCTCAGCGAGTAGAATCTGAATCTGTGCTTTGTTTTCTCGATCTGTTCTTTGAATTTTTCCAGAATATTTATCAAGTATTTCGCATTTTCTTCCAAAAAATAAATAAAATAGTTGTTGATGTTGAATTCATTCCAATTAATTATATAGTTGTTTACTAGCCTCAAGGTTGTTATTTATCTGAAGAAAGTTAATTTTCCCGAAGCAGAAGTAATTTTTAATTAATTTCAGTAATTAATTGTTATTATTGCATAAATTAAATTAATTACTTAAAAAGAGTAAAAAAATAGTTTCGGCCCTAATTCCAGTTTATTTCACTGTAATATCACCGCCAGTAGTCAATAGAAAATTTAGAACGAATTTAGCCTATTTTTAATGGCCGTTTGTATTTTATAGTTAAAAATGGGAAAATTATCAATTAGGGTTAATATCGGATTTTAGGTTTAAAAATTCGTGAAAAATTCCAAAAAGTCATATTGTAGTTCCAGAAAGTTTTTTTGACAAGATCTTATTTTTGATTAATTTTTGCTATTATACATGTTTAATTCCTTGTTAATGATTAATTTATTTACCATATTGTTGAATGCAAAAATAATGTTTAGTAGCTAAAATTGTTTTGGGCATGAATTGAGTAAAAGAATATGGATTGACTTGTTAGCCGAAAATTAGGGGTTAAAATTAATTAATTGAGCTAGTTATTCAAATTGATGAATTAGTAATTAATAATTGTTAGCCATTTTCATTAATTAACCTTTGGAAAATTATTTCTAACTTGTCTATGAGATTAGAAAATAATTTGAGCCAACCATATTTAAGCACGTTAATAAGGCCTAGAAATAGGAAATTTTAATGAAACGGATTGACATCTTGTCTATGAGAATTAAATTCAAATTGCTTAATTAATTAGTTTAATTAGTTAATGAATTTGGTTATTTTTATTGAACAAAATATTGGAGAATTATTTCTGTCTTGTCTATGAGATTAGAATTTAATTCAAGCCAACCATTTTTGAATACATTGATGAAACCTAGAAATAGGATAAATTAATGAAAGTAATTTCTATTCTTGTCTATGAGAAAAGAAATTATTAGTCCAATTGTTGTTTTAATTCCCCTAATTACTAGGTCCAAGATTATATTCATTTCTAATTATTCTTTTCATTGCCTTTCTTTGATCAATCCATTTAGAGTTTAATATTTTTCATTTAGTTTATTTTTGAGCCATCATTAGTATTTGCATAATTTAATTACTTTATTTTTTAAAAACTAGTTTAGAAAATCAATCAAAAGTTTTAATTTGGAAAGCTTCCAATAATTTGCGATAACCTGTGACTGAGCTTAAAATCAAAAAACTCCTCCGACATTCCTCAAGAGACACGATACTCGAGGAAAAATCGAAAGTTTAGACTCCGTTTTACTACCACGCCGCGAAAGCGGTAATCAGCCGGTTGTACCGTGGGCACGATACAGCCGGGCTTTTTGTTCGCTGTTTGTGTATTGCGCGTCATCCCTCGATCTCCTCCTCCACCTCTCAAATCTCGTCTCTTCCTTGCCGATGACCTTCGGTCGTTTCTTGGATCTGCGCGCGGCGATGGAGAGTCTATGGATGGGTTGCGGAGATGCGGCGAAGATGGATTCGCTTGGACTATGGATGGATTGATTACGCAGATACTGCCAAGATGGGCTTCGCACGCTCTGCTGCTGCTTTCTTTTCCTCTTTCAATTTTTCTAATTCTTATACTGATTTTTTTAATTTGGTAGCTTTTGGATTAGGAGATACCTAAATTGTAGAAGTACCTTTTTTTAAAGATATGACCATACACAAATAAATTTTTGAGTATGGTAGAGATTTTAAATGAGCCTAAACGAAATGAGTATACGCCCAAAAGAAATGAACTCACACTAATTAATATCGAACATATTGAAAATGAGTATGACACCCAAAATGAATGAGCATACACAAATGAGCTTTCAAATTTTTTGATACTCATTTTGTAAGTTAGATATGCTCATTTGGAATCGCTTTATGCTCATTTTAAAAAGTTTCACGTTTCAAACATATCACACTACATTAGATTCACATATTGAAATTAATCAAAATTGATTATAGACAACTTAAGATTTTTTAATAAACGAAAAAATAATAAACTGAAAGTGATATATAAGGTATGAAGCAGAGATCACTGATGCTCACCGTTAGGTTCCTAATACTCAAAAGAAATAGGCTCAATGCTCATCAGAAATACATTAATGCTCATTTAAAAGAATCCACAATTTTCACAAATATTACGATTTTGCCACCGGCTGTACAATGGTCACTGTACAGCCGGTTGTACAGTATACGCATTCAACACATTTAGTTGATTTTTACATTTTTTAAAATTTCTATTATATCAGTTAAAATTATAATATTGATACCTTTTCATTAAAATTAGTCAAACCTCTGATATCAATCACTTTCCTACGCAGAGAGCCACGCGCAGTGCTCGAAGAGCCGGAGCTCGGAGAGGTACAAGAATGTCGGCGTCGGAGTTACCAGACGAGCTATGGAGACGAATTCTGGAAACTGGAATTGAACTCTTGAACTTCACCTACAAGGATCTCTGCTGCCTCTCAATCACTTGCCGCCGTCTCAATCGCATCTCCGGAGAGGACTCTTTCTGGAATTCCTTGCTCTCCTCGGATTTTCATCGGCCTCAGCCCCACGATTCCTCATCATCTTCTACCCCCGTTAAAGCGAAACTCCTCTACAAAATCAGGTTCAAAATACATTCTTTGCTAATAGACTTACGAGTATATGATTTATCTCTTATGCTTATTGCTTAAATAAATAAACGGGCATTCAATGCGCAATTCAGATATGAAAGGGACATTGAGCGGAAGCGCTTGGCGCACAGAAGGATCGTTTTAAGAATTGAGAGTGAAGTAGGTGACCACCTTAGGAAGATTCTGGAGTTGGAGCTTCGGCATGAGGAGGAGAAACAGAAGTTGAAAAGCGCTGCTGTTGAGTTGGCGAATTTGCAAAGGGCGAGGTAGTGATCAGACTGATTCCCACTTGTATTTGACTATTTGCATTTGTGGTATTCTCAGTTTATGATTAAAAAAGAAGGTACCTGGTTTATGTTCATGTGCATTTTTCTGCTGATCTTTAAAGAAACACTGAGAACAATTTCTAGATATTGTTGAACAAGTGCGGTTTAGGATTGGGTGAATTTTATCTAACCCAAGGTAGTCAAAGTCGAAAGGCGCACCTGAAGCGCTAGGAGTCTTCTAGCGCCTGAGGCGCAAGGCGCAAAAAAGTGCTCGCCTGATTCAGGTGAAGCGCATTACTTATATAAAATCACATATACTATTCTATAATTACCAAATATGATGTATGTAACATCATATTGAACCAAATGCATATAAAATCCAGGATTCACCAAAATAAAGTCATGATTTACAAAAAATAAAACACCAAATTCAGAATTTATGGCTTTAATACTAAAACTATAAGTAAAAGACAATCAAATTGGAGCCTATTTCCCGTGTTAAATTTGTGAGCCTACATAGTACTATTACTTTATTAATAACATAGCAATATACTAGTGCTGTGAGTAACATAGAGTAATACAGAGTATTATGACTATTATATACAAAGCAATATACTAATGCTGTGAGTAATATAGAGTAATACTGAGTACTATTACTTTTTAATATACATAACAATATACTAGTGCTATGAGTAATATAGAGTAATGCAGAGTATTAATACATTATTATGAGTAATATAGAGTATTATATACATAGTAATATACTAGTACTTTATTATATTGTGTTATATAGTAATATACATAGTAAATAAAATGGAAGATGAAGCACAAGAATGCTTACTTCGATCGTTGAGCAGTTTATGTTATGTGTTATGTGTTTAGCTTAGGTTAAGTTGTTTTGACCTTATTTACATGGGCTTTAGTAAAAAAATGGGCTTCTTAATGGTCTTGTTTGACCGCACATGTGAAGTAAAACCGGAAGTAAAACCGGAAATAAACCCTCCCTTCTCAGGCGCGTTCAGCGAGCGCTTTATAGCGCATCTGCGCTTCTGCGCTTTGCGCGACTTACCTGCACCTTAGAAGGGAAGGTGTGACTGGCCATCCATAGGGCGCTGGACCTCTCTAGCGCTGCGCCTGCTGCGCTTAAGCGCTCAGGCGCACGACTTTGACAACCTTGGCTGCGCCTAACCCATCTGCGTGCGCCTCCCCTTCTTCCAAGCGCTGGAGTCCATGCTCGCTGCGCCTGGCGGGCTTAAGCGACAAGGCACGCGCTTTTGACTACCTTGATCTAACCTGTTTTTTCCAGAAACTTTTGGGCTTTTCTGTTTTCATGGTTGAAAGAAGTAAGGACGTAAGGTAATATTCATTATTTGTTGGTTTTACACGGCTATGGATTAATTTGTTTTAGGCAAGCATCAGTTGCTCTAAATGTGTGGCAACCAGATGTTATTCGAGGCAGACAAAAACAGGTAGTTGAGCAGTGTAATGTACCTGTTGATTTTCGAGTCAATTCCATTGAAATGGAGCTCAGGCTTTGCAGGCAGCAAATTGAAGGAATTGAAAAGGCTCTGGTAAGTAGTAATTTTTTGTTTCTGTTTTTTTAATTCTCGGTCTTATGTAACAGACATGTTTAGGGCTCTCTGGATAATTGCAGAGAATCGAAAAGCGGAGGTTAGAAGCTGCTAAAGAAAATTTGGATTCAGTGAAGTATCATCCCTTGCAAAACAATATCCTCACGCTTGGCATACCTGGGCTTACGAAAAAGTTGAAATCTTCACACCAGGTACAATTTTAATTTCTTCAACCAAAGAATTTCAACTTGTTTCTCTGTTGGGAAAATTTATAGATGAATTAATTATTTGGTTTCAGTCTTCCCCATTTTCCCTCACTTCCACAAAAAAGCCTAGGAGAGGACACCATGTGCCTCGCTAGGTGGGAAAACTTGGGATTTGGGAATAAACGAAAAGGATAACCGGTTCTTTTTCTTGGCTATGTTTAAAAGACTATTCAATTGTTTGCAGGTTACATAGATGAAAACAAGTATATGTGACCCATGTGCCTCGCTTCATGCATTGTTATCCTTCAATACAAGAACATGTAGATATTACAGATAAATAACACATATTTCAGGCCTTGGCGATTTCAAAAGGCCAAACATAAAGTATATTTACATGGAGAACAACTAAACCTTGCATAACCGAGGTAATCATTAAAATTAAATGCTATGTTTATCACTGAGATTTAAGTTTACTTTTACCCACCTAAACACCCCATTTGCTTTTTACATACATATTGTAGACATATATCATAGCTTTCACACCTTGGTGACCTCAAAGGTCACATGTTGGCAGTTTGGACGCAAGGCTCAATGTGAGGGGAATGGCCAGATCTGAAATGCAAGAGAAGGATCGAAGAATTTAGGGTTCGGGATTGTATTTATATTAGGTGTATTTCTGTCGGTTCAAATACAATAGGTCTCTTGTTTGTGCAAATAAAATAATATTCTGAAAGATAGGTTGTGTGTAGGTGGGGACCGACCCAAAATCCGGGCGAGTAAGAAACTAAGAACTAGACCAGTTGGTTGTTTTCAATTTTGAACTGGTGTAAACTAGCTCTGATTCTTATTAAATAAGCCCATGATGAACAAGTTCCAGGTATTTTAAGGGAAATTCTACATACAGCCCTCAAATTACTAAATACAGCCACTAAGTTAAATAGGATTAAATAAAAATAATTGAATATCTAAATCACCCTTACCGGTAGTTAACGATCGTTTAATTGAGCGTCACTACCCTGATCGTCAGAAACGCAGGAAAAACTAGACAGCAGAAAGTCGAGAGAAAACCTGAGAAGATCAAGCACGGAAGATTAGAAAAGACAGAAATCCAGAAACGTAGGAATCTTTATTACCCTAGTTCTGTTACACGTGAGGTCAGTTACCCTAGTTCCATTCCACATGAAGTCAATTCAATAGGTATTCAACATCTTCATTTAGATTATTGTATAGAAATTGGAGAACAACAAGAGTAAAGACAATAACCAGTTAACCACCAAGAGTTATATGAATAGGATTCAAATATGAACACACATGTATAATTATTATACTATAATAAATAAGGAAAGCAAAACAAGAGATTTTATTACTTACTGATATGTGTTGACTGTTTCAAAACAGATTTCATGCTCCAGCCTTCTAAGTTAGTTTTTTTTAATACCAAATCTATGTTAGTTTGTTAAACAAAACTGTGTCTGCATGAGAAAACACCAGTGAGAGGTAAGACCGTAAGATAACATATAACGGTATAACTAAAACATAGCGTAAATGAGCATAACAAATTAACACGGGTTACCTACTTAACTTACCTATCTTTCGCTGATGTCTTGTTGGTTTGCGGCGCTTATTGTAATAAATAAAAATTTAAAAAAATCGTTTATACTTGCGGCGCCTATTTAAATAAAAGCGCTGCAAACCCGGTTTATTTTTTTTTAAATCCTGTGCGGCGCATATTAAGAAAAAAGTGCCCAATTTGTGTTTTTTTTAAATCCGATTTGCATCATTAATAATTCCTAATTTGACAAAACACAAACACATTCACCAAATCCGATTTGCATTCATATACACTAAGAGTCTGATAAAAAATAAACACACATCAATTTATTTGCTACATCAAAGACAAAGCAACATTTTCTAGGTAAAAAAATTATTGCATGTGTTAAAATTTGCTAAATACACATTTATCTTAATGCTATCTCAAATTATTGCGTTCACTTTTCTGATTAAGGATATTACAATTGGAATCAAAAAAAAATATCTGATCTATGATAGTGAAAGTTATTTTTTACTTTAGTTTATATACTAAATATTAACATAAATCTTGATATACTTTTGCCTAGAATTCGGATCTTTATTAACTACATATCTAGCAATCATATCATGATACTAAAAGTGGTGTTTATGAGTCAGATAAATAAGCTAGGTTGTGTATAAAAGATAATTCTTTTATTCATGGACATAACTTTAATATAGTACTATTTGATCATAAAACTGAGATCATCTTTCATTTTTTTATCAAAAACATCATTTATATTAATCTAAATCAACCTCTGTCAGAGTTAAAATTTCGTTTCTAAATATGGGACATCTTTCTTTTTTATTTTTTACTGCATAGTTTGACATATTAATGTTTTAATTATTAGATACCACTTGACGTGAGAATCTTTTTATAGATTTAATTCAGCTGACCTTTTGGCTAAAAATTGCCTACTCAAAGTCTAAAGCATGAAACTTTTCTTCGTTCAATAACACTTATTTTAAATCAATATAATGAAAATAAATCGATCGTTACCAATCGTGTGATGCAGTCGGCCTGTTCGTTGTCGCTGACATCACCTTCATTAAAATCAGAATGTCACATAATTGTGTATTCTAAACTCTTTTCTTAAAGGAGTTAGAATGACTAATTTGCTCAATTCTAAACTCTAGAAGGTCTAATATCTTCAAAAAATGATCATACCCATTATTAAATAAATAAATTACAAAAATGTGTAGTTATTAGTTTTGAAAAAACATTAAGCAACACATGAAATCTAATAGATAAAAATAGGTATTGAGCAATTTCTTTTTTTTGTTTAGATAAATATGGTTGAAGATAAGAAGTCCGTTTGGATGCAATTGAGAGCTATAAAAAAATGGCTCTTTTAATTGGAAATTATAGTCTGAGAACATGTTTAGATAATTAGTTAAAAAATAAGACATACTCAATAAATAAGAATATGCATTATCAACTGCATGTTACGGGTAAAGATACTACTCCCTTTGTTTCTATATTATGTTCAAACTTTCCCATTTCATTTGTTCCAAAATGATCTTCTCTTTTCTTTTTGGCAAATAATTCGTGATTCATAAAATTCACTATCTTAATTTGTGTGTCGATCAAATAAGTAGATAATATAGGGAGAGAGGTGATTACCTCATACAGGCGGTTGTACCGTACGCACGGCAGAGCCGACTGTACCGTACGCATGGTACAACTCGGCTTTTTTAACCTTTCTGCGCTTCTCGCCCTCCCACAAGCTTCGTATCAGACCTTCGCACATGACTTCGAAGCCGTTTTCGCACCGGATTTCGCATAGAACTTCGCATCTCGCTTATTCAATCTCGTTGGGCTTCTTCGATCTGATTTCACACCAGCAGTTCGTCGCCAAAGTTCACCACTCGCCCCCTTCTCCACCCTACTTACCTACTCACCTCCTTCCCTCTGTATTTCTTTCCGGCGTAGTTGCCGATGTAGTTTTACTGTTTGAGCATGTGATTTTAGGAGACACAGGAAGTCTACTTCGTTGTTGAGGAATCCTTGTTGCTATTAATCTCAAATGAGTTTTACATTAAACTCAAATGAGTATACGCCTAAAAGGAATGAACATATACAAATGAATGTTGTACACATTAGAAATGGATATTATGTTAAGATCAAATGAGTACAACTTTCAAAATGAATGAACATACACAAATGAGGTTTTGAATTTTTTTATACTCATTTTCTAAGTTATAAATACTCATTTGATGTCACTTTATGCTCATTTTAAAATGTTGCACATTTCAAACGTATCCTACTACATTAGATTCACATATTGAAAAATAATAAAACAAAAGTGAATTGGAAGATAGGGAGAGAGAACATTGATGCTCATTAGTGGGCTCCTAATACTAAAAAACAAACGTGGCTTGGAAGGATTTCAAGAACTACCTTAAGCATAAGTGAAAGGAAATGAACTTGGAGCAATTGATCCTCCGTCTGCGGATTGAAGAGAATAACTGGAAGAACGATGGGAAACTCCCAATTGTTCATGGCGCCAAGGCCAACGTTGTGGAGCATGCTAAAGGCTCCAAAAATAAAAATAATGGGAAGAGCAAGCTCGGTCCCAAGGGAGGCGTTTCCAAGACAAAGTTCAATGGAAAATGCTTCAATTGCAATAAAAACGGACACAAGTCCGCGGATTGCAAGGCACCTAAGAAGAAGAGTGACTCTCAAGTCAACTTGGTGCAAGGTGGGCAAAAGGATGAAGACATCATCCTAGCGGCTGTGGTTACGGAAGTCAACCTCGTTAGATCCAATTCCAAGGAGTGGTTTGTGGACACCGGTGCAACCTGACACATTTACTCTAACCGGGAGCTATTCACAACCTTTGAGCCATCAAACGGTGAGAAGGTGTGGATGGGGAATTCTGCTCATTCCGAGGTTGAAGGCATGGGCAAGGTGGTCCTGAAGATGACTTCGGGCAAGGAGCTGACTCTCAACAATGTGTTGTACGTCCCGGAGATACGCAAAAACTTGTTCTCGGGCTCTTTGTTGAACAAGCATGGGTTCCGCATGGTGTTTGAGTCGGACAAACTAGTTTTGTCAAAATCGGGAATGTATGTGGGGAAGGGGTATGCAGTTGATGGGTTGTTTAAGCTCAATGTAATGACTATTATTAATAATAATAATAAAATATCTTCTGCTTACTTGCTTGAGTCTTCCAATGTGTGGCATGGTAGACTAGGACATGTTAATTTTAATTCTATACGTAGATTAATTAACATGGAACACATTCCTAAATTCACAATTGATGTGAATCACAAATGTGGAGTTTGTGTAGAGGTAAAACTAGCGAAAACGTCTTTCAAATCGGTTGAAAGAAAAACGGAGCCACTTGAATTAATTCATAGTGACGTTTGTGATTTTAAATCAATACAAACACGTGGCGGTAATAAATATTTTATTACTTTTATCGATGATAGCACTCGCTATAGCTATGTTTATTTATAAATTTGCATGGATGCTCATTTTAGGGAATCCGTGTTTTTCATCAAAATTACAAAATTGACTTAGCCATACACCAGGTTGTACACCCTTAATAAACATCTTAAAACGAGTCAAAAGTGGTAGAGCCAAGCGGTGTATACTAACCCATAGGGCCAAGCCAAAGTCGGGTTTCTGGGGTAAGGGGCCGTGAAAGCGGTGGAGCTAGTCACTATAAAAAGTTTACACATACCTTAGTTTTAACCAGAACTTTCGGCCTAGCTGGTTATGAGGTTACCCCTGCATAGGAGGGGTCTCGTGTTCGAGTCTCACTAGCACCAGTGGTACTATGCCTCCCCAAAAAAAACCTTCAAGTGGTAGGGTAAAGCGGTGTATACTAACCCATAGGGCCAAGCCAAAGTTAGGTTTCTGGGGTAAGGGGCCGTGAAAGCGGTGGAGCTAGTCACTATAAAAAGTTTACACATACCTTAGTTTTAACTAGAACTTCCAGCCTAGCTGGTTGTGAGGTTACCCCTGCATAGGAGAGGTCTCGTGTTCGAGTCCCACTAGCACCAGTGGTACTATGCTCCTCCAAAAAACCCTTCAAGTGGTTGGGCCAAGCGGTGTATACTAACCCGTAGGGCCAAGCCAAAGTTGGGTTTCTGGGATAAGTAGCCGTGAAAGCGATAAAGCTAGTCACTATAAAAAATTTACTCATACCTTAGTTTTAACCAGAACTTCCGGTCTAGCTGGTTGTAAGGTTACCCCTGCATAGGAGATGTCTCGTGTTTGAGTCCCACTAGCATCAGTGGAACTATGCTCTCCCAAAAAACTAAGTAGTAGGGTCAAGCGATGTATACTAACCTGTAGGACCAAGGCAAAGTCGGATTTCTGAGTTAAGGGGCCGTGAATGAGTAAGTAAGTGACACAAGGATGACAGGATCGGGTGTATCCTTTTTTTTTCTTTAAACGAGTCGAACAAAGCCTTAATATCTAAGATTGCTCTTCTGGTTTCTCGTATCACGAAACTGTCTACAATAAGAATGGTGCTGTGGTCATATCCTTCAACTCCTAAGCAACTCTCTCTCACTCTCTGCGGTATCTTCGTCGGAATCTCCTTCATCTCCGCCGGCGCTTACCTCTCCTACTCCAACATCGGCCCTCAACAAGCCCGCGTTAAGGCCCGCAAGGACTACGTCAAATCACGTCTCAGGCAGCTCCTCCAAGATTAGTTAGTGCGGAGTAAATTGGTCCATACATGTTTCCAAATGCTGTTCTTCACCTTTTCGGATTTCTAGGTACTCTAATTTTTTACAGCTAGTTTTTTATCTATTTGCTTCCTTCCTCTGTTATTAGAAACAGGGATTAGGAATTCATTCTTCTGAAAGCGATTTTTCTTGTTTGACCCTTTAAATTTCCCTTGCGTGTGAAGAGTAGAGAGCTATAGAGCAAGGGTTTAAACTAAATTGCAGAAAGTATGGGGGTTTAGAGTTGAGAAATCTGGGGTAGATATTGAAGAAAAGAGGTGGGGAAGCAGGGAAAACTATAGGAAGAAAGATTCTTTTTCTTCATTCATGACATGAGGAAACAATTTAATCGTATTCCTTCAATCTTTGTAGTTACAAATGAAAAGTTAGAAATTGGGATCTCCAGCTCACTAGCTCAGCATATGTTATCAAAATGTATTAGATTTAGCCTGGTGGTTTTTATCGAACCTTTTCTTTTAAGTCCCTGCACTTTGCATTCTTTATATATTCTGCTTGGCTCATGAAAAACATATATGCTGGTCTTATTTATATTTTACCTCAATTCTTACTGAATAGTTGAATCTTCTCAATTGGATATTAGGATTCAAATGTGTATAGTAATTGTAAGTCGAAGTTACAATATGAATCATTTCTACAAGTTTACATTCATTTCTTTGATCAAGTGTTTCCCAGTGGACATTGGCTGGTTCTTTGTCCTCCGTTACTGGCAATTCAATAATTTGGTACAGGATTCTTGATCTTTCTTGTTACAATGTTACTGCCTTACTGGGGCATCATCTGGAGCAACTGTATGCATCTAAGACGCACATAAACTTCCCACGCTCACGTTTCCCCTTTTTGAAACTTGGAAGCGTGACGGAAACCCGGACACCGGAAATTTAGAAGTCCCATTCCAGGGCCATTTCTGTAATTAAAAAGAATTGGGAAATTCATTTCTCTAAATAATTAGCTTTCAGAAAGTTCGGGAGTCCATTTTTCTTCTTTAGGGAAAGTAGTGTGTATATTTTTTTTAAAAAAATACTGGTCTTTGTGGGATTTTATATTTTCAACATCATGTATTGCATTTTTTAAGTAGTTATATACTACGGAGTAATATGTAATAATTTTTAAATTTGAACATGTGGACTCTATTTATTATTGTTTCCCCATGTTTTTTATCCTTTTTTTTAATCTTATTTCGCGTTTCCGTGCTGCTTAGGTCTGCATAAGTTGAATATGTGTTTGTCCATTTTTATACCCCATTGAGTTTTTGTATTCGAATTGGTGACATGAATAGGTACTGTTTATATTCACTATCACCAGCTATTGGGAGTTGTGACCTTCAATTGTTTGTGTGTGTGTTAGACTCCGTATATACATATGTGTATTGTTAGTATGTATATATGTGTCTGTGTGTATCCTTCCTTATAGGAGCATATGCTAAGATATGAAGATTGACATGTTTCATTTTCTACTATGCTGTTTTCGAGTGTTGTGAACAACCGATTTCTATTTGTAATGATTTCTAGTCTCAGGCGGTTCACAACAACACAAAAGCCAATAAACCTGTTAGGCCATCAGCTTTGGATTGTAAGTTTCATGACTGTATCTCCCACCTGCCCAATTTTTGCTAATTTTCATTCTTGAAAAATCTACTGTCTTACTTGGATGTCATAACCAGACAACGTTGTGTTCTATGGAAAGCACCCCACAATCAAGTGTCCAAATGCCACCTACTGTCAACCTTACACGGGCATATACACTTGCTGTTCAAACACCCTCTTTTAGTGAGATATGGACCAAGTTTCATCATGACACCATTTCTGAACAGAATATTGACGTAGCTGAACTTAATTTTGAGGAGGAAACCATGAAATTAAAGGATGTACTTAAACTAAGCCATGATGATATAGAAGTAGTACTTTCTGAAATTGGAGTTGATAATTTTTCCCAACTTGTCTTTAACTTCTTTAACCACAGTGAGGAAACGGCCCGGAAATGTCTACTTCTTTCTGAAAGCATCCGCCATGCTCGCCGCTTATATGACCCTCTGGATAAACTTATTGAGACCGTAGATAAATATTCCCTTTCTCAAGACCAATGTGATGTGGCGTTTGATGTATTTCATCAAATCGACAAAATTGATAATCCATTCCCCGGGTCCAACAGCATTTTCAACGATATGCATAATTGCTACTTCCAACTGAAGAAACAGATTGACCTTCTGATTGGGAATTCTCGCTCAAAGCTTCAGCTTCTCCGTCATGCAACCAGAGGTTGTACCATATGCTTTCTTGTTGTTGCTGTCGGAGTGGCCACCTGTGCTATTCTGATCGCCACTCCTGCTCTCCTTATCCTCATTGCTACCCCAGTCTGCCCTGCTTTCTTTCCTATGAAGATAAACAAAAGAGAATCAGCGCGTCTGGTGCAGCTTGATGGTGCTTTGAGGGAAACTTTTGTGCTTGACAGTTACCTTGAGACCCTTGATTGTTTAGTTGATCCTTTGCATAATTCAGTGGAGGACCTTAAGCGCAATGTTCGGTTTGTGCTTGAGAGAAGCATGGACAAATATATCATTCAGGAGGTTCTCAAGCAACTGCAAAGAAAGAACCAGAAGTTTGTAGACCAACTTATTTGTCTTGAGGTGCACTTATGCCTATGCTTTACTGCTATAAACCGGGCTAGATCTGTCCTTTTCAATTATCTACTTTTTCATCAAAGTCATCCATCTTAACATTCATATCTGTTTCTCTTTTTGGTTTGTGAGAAGTGCTATTATGTTGAACTTTAAGTTAGTTAAGACTCCCAAATGTTGTAGACTTGTAGTTTCACAACACATTCAAGGGGCAGTGAAGTCACACCACACGTAAATTCATATTCAAACAAGGACAAGGCATGTGGCCTGGAAAATAATGGAGCAAAAGTATCAAGGCATGGTGGTATATTTAATTTAGAAACCGACAAGAAATTATCAATTGCACGGTTTTGGTTAACCATGCTGTGAGTTCTGCATTGTTCATTTGGATTTTGCAGTGTGATTTTATTCAAGTATCATGAAAGTTGGGATAGAAGAATAAGTTGTCTACTGATTTCCACCTATTTCATTTTCTTTGCTTTCGTGGTGGTGGTGTTTGGTCCATTACACATTGCGGGAATAATTTTTCTCATTTACGCATGCATGTCCTGATTAATCGTCTCCTCTATTATTGTTACCAAATGTGAACAAAAACCAACCTAGAAGTTTTGATGTTTTGTACTGGACATTGAATTTAGGCTGCTTAGCAGCTAGTTATGTTCAAAACTATTTAGAAATAATGACAAATATGACTGAAATAAAGGCAATGGACAAAAATATGATTTAGTCACTATCTAGTAACTTTAGTGACTATGCATAGTAACTATAGTAACACTTTTATGTTTATCCATTAGTTATATTTCAATGATACTTGCGGGAAAACCTCAACTATTTAAGATGATTTTTAGTGTACTTTGGCAGGCCTTGATAACAGGATCGGAAGTGGTTTCCCTAGGTGATTTTCTGATTCCTCAATTATCCTTGCTCACAACCAGCACATAGAGAACTGGAGCCAACTCAAATCCACGCACCCCTAGGGATGGACCCAACCAGTTCGGCCCGGACCGGACCGGTTGGTGCTAACCGGGCCCGGGCTTGAGAGGATTTTAGGTGTAGAAGGAACGGGAAGGATGTTAGAAGACGTATATTAGGTGCGTAAAATCGACGGCTTAAATGTGACTTCGGGGCTCGGCACAAAAATCAAAAATATGCAAAGGAGGTCACCGTGAACAGGCGCACCTCTTCATATTTTTAGTTTAATTTTCTGAGCACCCTCCATTTTTGGTGACTACTGTTCATGCCGGCTAATCTCTCCGGGAAGAAAGGTTGGTTGCGGAAGAGAGAGAAAGATAAGGGGGAAGTAAAGGAAAATGAAAAAGAAAAAGGAAAAAGGAAAGAAAAACTGATGAGGCTTGCCACTTTGTGCTGTGCCAGGCCATATGTGTGCCACATGTGCGTCATGTCAGCAGGTAACCCGCTGACTGGCGGGTTACCTGTTAAAAGTCGATTTTGACGAAAATTTCAAAGTAGGAGGACTTAATTGACGAAACTTAAAGTAGAGGGGCATATTTGACTTTCCGTACAAAGTACGAGGGCCAATCTGACACTTTTCTCTTGTTATTAGTTTCTTGCCTTTGACAAATAAATAATAGAATATTCATTGCTTTAGGATTTAGGATACTTATTCTAGAAAGACAAACTCATTTTTATAATGTTTAATTTATCTTTAATAGAAAAAAGTACTCGAATTTGTAAAATATGAACTAATATTAAAATCCTATAAACACTCGTTAAACTGTCATCAGATAATGTGAAGTGAATTCGAGATATACGGAGTACATGTTTGTGTGACATTAAAATTACAAAAATTCATTAAACTCCGACTTTTTTGAAAAGAATTTATTGCATAAATAATAAATTTAAAATATTTTAGCATAACATTATTCTTAAAACTAATACAGGGTAGTTTTTTTACATACAAGAAAGTGTAATTCAAAATTAGATATTTTATTCCAATACTCCCTCCGTCCCTATAAAAAGGTCCATATTCATTTGACACACATTTTAAAAAGTTGGATTGTTTGACACTGTTTGGATATTGTTTGACACTGTTTTGTTTACCAAAAAAAGAAAATGAAACTTTTAGGGATGACTCTGAAAGGAAAGAAACCCTTTTGTTTAGGGATGGAGGAAGTAAGATTCATACAATGAAACAATGGAAAGGTCATTTAAAAGATATAGGTGGATATGTATTCAATATAATTTCTTGCCTTTGACAAATAAATAATACTTCCTCCGTTCCTATTAAAACTTTCAAAATAGGTTTGGCACACAATTTAAGATAGTGGATATTGTGTGATGGAGAGTTGTGCAGAGTAGAGAGAAATGTGTAAGAAATGTTGTGAATCACAAATTCTTTACTAAAAAGGGAAAGTGGAAGTTTTAATTGGAACGGATGAAAAAAGGAAAATTGGAAGTTTATTTAGGAACGGAGGGAGTAGAATATTAATAGTTATTACTGTTATTCCATTACAAAAGTAAAAATTGTGTGGTTGAAATTTGTGGAGAGGGTAGAGAAATAACATTAGCCACATATTCCTTACATTAAATGGAAATTGCAAAGTTTTTTTAGACGACCAAAAAAAAGAAATTTGGCCAAGTTTTATGGGACGGAGGGAGGGAGTGTAATATAGGGTTTCACTGAATTACTGTTATACTTTGATTTTTTGATTTTACGACAACTAGAATCGATTTATTAGTGTAACATCATTAATTCATGTGATCATTATTACCTGGTCCAAAAGGTGGAATCTCCCACCCCAGGAGCCCCTCACCCCGACCCGACAGGATGGTGGGGAGGTTAATCACGGTGACTCAGTCAGCAAAGTGGCGGTAGGCCTTATACACGTGCGCACCAGAGGTCCAACCTTATTTCAGGTTCTGTAACCTCCACACGGCCGCTGTGGGTTTCGAACCTTGGTCACTTGGTCCAATTTTCCCACAACTCGACCAACTGAGCTACCCGTGCGGGTATGTGATCATTATTACCTTGCTCTACGGCATCGGGGGAGATTTTAGGTTATTTATGAATTTATCACTATCTTGTTGATTTAATTATTATTCCAAAAAACGACCTACCTAAATTGTTTTTCCCAGAATTTCTCATTTGTTTTTTGCCGATGACACCTTCCTGTTTTTCAGAGCAAGGGAGGATGATTGTGTAGCCATTAAAAATATTCTCGAAATATATGATCGGACTCGGGGCAAAAACAAAATCACAAAATCCTCTATTTCTTTCAGCCCTAATGTCCAAGGCTGGGTAAGAGACAAAATTGTGGGCCTTTGGGAGTGTCAGCCAGGAAGATGTGCAACCGCTACCTTGGATTACCTACTTTAATGGGAAGGAAGAACGCAAAGATTTTTGGTTACCTGAAGGAAAGAATTCTAAAACGGATTTGTAGTTAGAATAATAAATTTCTATCAAGGGCTGGACGAGAAGTATTGTTAAAAACAATTATCGAGGCTATGCCTTCTTATGTTATGAAAATGTTTTTTCTTCCACGGGAATTATGCTCGGAGATTGAGAGTCTTATGAATGCGTACTGGTGGTGAGGAAAGGGGCTAGAGGGTCGTGGTATAGGGTGGAGGACCCAGAAGAATTTGAGTAAGCCAGAGTCTAAGGGAGGGCTAGGGCATCGGTCAGTCACATATTTTAATGTCGCTATGTTGGAAAAAACAAGTTTGGCGCTTAGTCACTGAACCCGAGTCACTGGTGGGGAATGTTCTTAAGGCAAAATACTATACCAAGGGGTCTAGGCATGGCCTCGGTTCGGGCCAGGACGAGCCTCGGTCCGATTCCGACCGGGCTTTTTTTGGAGAAGTGAGGCCCGGAAACCGGCCCGGGTATCTCCAGGGCCGGGTCGGGCCAGTTCACCTTTTTTCAAATTACTTCCTACCCCCCACCCCCCACTCCACCCCCCTCCAAAACACCCAGCCCAACCCATTTACCTGTTAATAAATGTGAAAACGAAAAAAAAAATGGCCTTAACCGGGCCCGAACCGGTCGGGCCGGTTCATCAAATGCAAGGCCCGGGAACCGCCCCTCTACAGTGCCGGGCCGGGTGGCCCGAATCGGTCACAGAACCGTGGACCAGGCCGGTCCGGGCTGGAACAGTGCCGGTTCGGGCCGATTCCGGTTCGATTAACCCGGCCTGAGTCCATCCCTAAAGGGATCTTTTCATGATGCTATGTTGGGGAGTATCCCCTCCTTCATTTGGAGGAGCATTTTTTAAGCTCAGAATCTGATAAGGGATGGGACAAAGAGAAAATTAGGCACCAGGAGAAATATTTATGTGTGGCATGACAAATGGCTCCCAAGCAATGAGAATGGTTTAGTTACTTCGCTAAATCGGCAGGGATTTATGACATGGTCACATGAATGTAGCGACCCTAGTAAAGAAGGATTGTTCAGGGTGGGACACATACTGTTAAGTCAGGGTATTCCACACAGTAAACGGGAAGTTCCAAATGGTTGATGGAGTGGAGATTCCAAAGGGAAATATACTGTTAAGTCAAGGTATAGGAGGTTGGTTAGGGAGTTTGAGGATGAGCAGTGGATGGGGTGCACTACAAATGTGGGTCTTTTTTATTCAATCAAAGTTTAAACATTTTTTTACCAACGGCGGACAGGTTTAGAAAGAGGAAGGTTGATATTCCATAAGAGTACAAATTCAAGGTAGGGATGGATTTGAGGCGAACAACTAATTCTATGTTGGATTGTGTGGACATATTTTCAAGACTCTTATAGAGGAGGAACTATGCAAATTCATATCAATAGTGTGGATTGTTTGGAAGGAACACAACGAAGTAGTGTGGAATAATAAATCTTTCAATTCCTCACAAGTAATTTATATTGGGGCTGCAACGCTTCAAGGCTGGCAGGCGACCCGAGGCACACCAGTGATGCCAAACGGAGGAGTGGAATTGGGTACCAAATACGGGAGGCAATTCAGGAAGAGCTTGACCATGTGAAAAGAGACAACTGCAAGAGACACCTGTCTGTGTGTAAAAAGAGACGCCACAAGAAAACACTGATGATTCCAATGACTTTTTCCAACAATTGCCCATGACTTGAAAGAGAGTATGTCATTTCCTGAAACTATATACGGAGTACTATTTTTGCATATCTTGAACATATATAAAGTAGAAAAATGGCACCTATATTACTATTATTATTATTTAATTTAAAAAAACACGACTCTTTAGTTTTTCCAACAAAATCACTGTCCAACAACCACACCCCACCGAAACCATCGCTTCTCCGCCACTGCCACCGTCATTGACTATAAGGTCATAAATCCTATGCGACTCCACCCAAGCCACCCCCACCCCTAATTTTATCGTCAATGTTAGTGACTCCTCGCACCAATATGTGCTATTGGAGTATTGGTACGATATCGATTCTCCTTACATAGTTTGAAATATTTTTTAAGAAATGATATAATTAGATCTCTCAAAACTGTATTATACTTTTCCAAAATATATCAATCAGTGGTTTATTCTTCCTAATCTAGAATATGTTTTTAATGTAAGAGATTGATACATGTCAAGACCATTTGTTGAAATATTGATAAGGATGTCGTGTATTAGTGTATACGATAGCATACCATATACATTAATATATAGCGTATATACTTTGATATTAATTAGACCAAAATCAAGATACTCATTATTCTCAATAAGGAGTTAATATTTTAAAGATTATTTCAGATTTTCATAACACAATATTTGCAATATAGTTGGTATTTTTAACATGAACTTTTAATTAGATTATTTGACCGACTATTTAAAGTAAGCGTACATATTGGATACTTTTTTTAGTATAGGAGCTTAAGTGATGGATTGTAAACAATAGAGAGACATATTTGATCATTTACCCTGCAATAAATAATGTAAGAATGTAAGATGCAATCAATATATGTGTACGTACTAAAAAGTAAGCTAATTGCATACTAAAATTTAGGGAAGTGTGTATTTAAAGAAAGAAACTTTTCATTGGCAGTATAGGAAACAATACAAACAAAGTCTACAGACAAAAAACTCTAATGAAGATAGAAACTATATGAAATTATAAGATGCATTGCTCTTCAAATTAGACTTATATGACCAGCAATAAAGCCATAGAAGTTGATGAATATGCAAAGAAAATCTACCAAAAACCTGCTCTCAAGTGCATCTAGTGCATTATGAAAATGCAATAGATGAGCAGCAACCACTCAAACGTAATATATTCCAACTAAAGTCTGATCAAATCATGTAAGGAATCAACCTAAAAACTTAGTCTAAAACTACCAAAAACCAACTGAAGTAGTAAATATCATCATTTGCTCCAACATAAGTAGTTTCATATTAACGGCACTCAATTTAAATGTTTGCTCACAATTCATGTAATTGTGATCCATTTCTCAAATCTTGGCTCATATCCTTTGAGCCGTTTGAGGGCCGTAGCAATTGAGAAAACACACAATTAGTAAATCTAATTTAAAAAATAAATAATAGAAGGATAAAGTAAAGAATTTCGGATTTACGTTGGGTATCTTAAACTTCATTTGTGAACAAAATTCATTTCAGCCAGAATGAAATTAAACTCAGAATGCCAAAAAAGCTGAAACAAACTAACATTGAAACTCATATTGATAATGTAACAGCAAAAAGAAACATAGCAGTAGATTAATCAGATAATCCGCTAAAAAACAACAGCAGAAAATTAGTACTGCAACATACTGAGGAGCTATCATGGTATTGTTTTAGAAATATAAAACATATTGAAGAAGAATTAGTTGATGTAGGGAAGATATGAATGAACGGGATTTGAGAAGTTTCAAACTATTACCGGTTGCGATGTACCTCCGAGATGGAGGATTGGAATGAGCGGCGCTAAAGGTAGCCAAAGATCTTTCAGGAGGGAGGAGCAACATCCATTTGCAGAGGTTGTTCAGATTTCAAAAGAGGAATTCATCGATTTGGATGATATGAGTGAAGAAATTTCAGGCGTTTTGGGTGATTTCAGATGTAGAATCTCCGAGAGAGCGGTGAAAGAGGTAGCCAACGCATGGCAGTAGGGAGCATCATCATCGATTAGTTGAGGTTGTTCAAATTCCAGGAGAAGAATTCATCGATCGCGATATGAGTGAAGGGATATCAACGTGTTGAGAGGATTTTAGGTGTAGAAGGAACGGGAAGGATGTTAGAAGACGTATAATATGTGCGTAAAATCGACGGCGTAAATGTGAGTTCAGGTGAGCGGGATTTTTTTCCTAGAGTTGTAGTGATATTAAGGAGAGGATTTTAGGTGTAGAAGGAACGGGAAGGATGTTAGAAGCCGTAGATTAAGTGCATAAAATCGATGGCGTAAATGTGAGTTCGGGTGAGCGGGATTTTTTTTTCCTAGAGTTGTAGTGCTATTAAGGAGAGGATTAGTTGATGTAGGGACGATGTGAATGAACGGGATTTGAGAAGTTTCAAACTATTACCGGTTGCGATGTACCTCCGAGACGGAGGATTGGAATGAGCAGCGCTAAAGGTAGCCAAAGATCTTGCAGGAGGGAGGAGCAACATCCATTTACAGAGGTTGTTCAGATTTCAGAAGAGGAATTCATCGATTTGGATGATATGAGTGAAGAAATTTAAGGTGTTTTTGAGCAATTTTAGATGTAGAATCTTTGAGAGAGCGGTGAAAGAGGTAGACAACGCATGGTAATAAGGAGCATCATCATCGATTAGTTGAGGTTGTTCAGAATTCAAGAGAAGAATTCATCGGTGACGATATGAGTGAAGGGATATCGACATGTTGAGAGGATTTTAAGTGTAGAAGGAACAAGGAGGATGTTAGAAGCCGTAGAATAGGTGTGTAAAATCGACTTATATTACATATACTATATATAGTTATACATTATATTATATATTACTTATAATATATTTACACATTATATATACTATATATACTTATACTCATTGATATAGACTTATACACATTCATACATTTTATAAAAGTAGTTAATTGTTAGACTTCTCGTTTATCTATTAAATTACTTAATTGTTTCATTTGTCATATTAATATTAGTTAAAGTAGTTAATTGTTTCATTTGTCATATTAATATTAGTTAAAGTAGTTAATTGTTTCATTTGTCATATTAATATTAGTTAAAGTTAATTGTTTCATTTGTCATATTAATATTAGTTAAACTACTTAATTATTACATTTCTCATATTAATATTAGTTAATTGCTACATTGATCATTAAAGTAAAAAAAATTAGTTAATTTTTACATTTCTCAACATCATCAGTAATCAGTATGTGTCTCCTTTCGGTATTTCGAGCAGTATTGAAATCGAAACTAGGGGTGGACCTAGGCCGGGCGAACCGGGCCGGAACCGGACCGGCCCGCTACTGTGCGAGCCCGACCTGGCCCGATGAACCGATTCCGGGCCCGGTTCGGGCCAACTGGCCCGGTGAGATGGCGGTTCAGGATCGGGCCCTTCAAAAGGTGAACCGGCCCGGCCAATTCGGGTCCGGGCCAGGCCAATTTTTTTTTTTTTGAATTTTTTTAAGTTTTTGGGTTGGGCTGGGTATTTAGGGCCATTTGAGGTGGTTAGGATTGGTTTGGGGGTGAGGGGGAGGGTTGGCGGTTAACTAGGAAAAGCCAAAAAAAATGAACCGAAGCCCGGCTCGGCCCGAACCCAGGGGTTACCCGGGCCGATTCCGGGCCTCCCCTTCTTGAACCGAGGCCTGGCCGAGCCCGAAACGGTCCATGCCTAATCAAAACGCAAGAATGACATTGATATTTTTCTAATCCTGCATGTTTCATTTAGGGATGGACTCGAGTCCGGGCCGGGTCCGGGCCGGCGGGTCAGAAATGGTGGACCCAGGACCGGCCCGGGTAACCACCGGGTCCGGTCCGGGTCCGGGCCGGGCTAGGCCGGGCCGAGCCCATTATATTTTTTTTTTGTTTTCCTCTTCCTAATTAACCCCCTCCCACCCCCAACCCCCCAAACCACCCCAAATGGCCCAAAATACCCAGCCCAACCCGAAAACTTAAAAAAAATTGAAAAAAAAGAAAAAAAAATAGTTTTTTGCCCGAACCAGACCCGGGCCCGGCCGGGTCGGGCCTTGTTTTGGATGACCCGAGCCCAGACCGGAAAACCCACGGGCCGGGCCTACCCGAACCGGTCACTGAGCGGGCCACCGGGTCGGGCCGGGCCGGAACAGTACCGGTCCCGGGCCGGTTCCGGGTCGGGCCACCCGGCCCGAGTCCATCCCTAGTTTCATTCAAGATCTGTAGTAGAAGCAAGAGAAATCTACTTGATCCTGATACCTATCAGCAAATTAAAAACAATACAGGACACAGAATGGAGGATGTGAAATTTTTTTAACCCAATTATAACTCTAATCAAATTTTATGTGTGAAGGAGGAAATTCATTATAGTACATTTGTTCTTAAATAAGTGCAACATGTGAAATTTTACACTATTCACATGTTCTACTTTGACTACATTTTATTTATTGATGTATTAATATATTTTTTGAAAAATATATCATTAAATTTGTCCCATTGTAAATTTTCAAAAACTAATTTTTTAAAATTTTTTAATAATAGAAAATTATATATATAGATAGTCAAAGTTATGTCTGAACAAGTGTGAAATGTTGAGTGTTGCACTTATTTAAGAAGTGAGGAAATACAATTCTAAAAAGGTAGCATCCTTTTAATGCAAAGCATAAAGACTTGAAGAAACAAAAATGGAGGCAATAAACAGCCAGGGACCCAGTGTAAAAAAATGATGGTAAACCGTAAACACACATAATGTGAACCAACAACTAATTATGTGATTGTACCATTCCAGAAAATCAACTGAAACAAATAATTCAGCTGATAAAGTTAATAAAGGTCATCAATGTGCGGAAAAATAATGCAATACCAATCAAGCATTGGTTGGCTGGATAGGCAGTAAAACATATATAGTTCCGACCAGGGTTCAACACTTCAACCTCAACCTAGTGACCTACATGTTTGGAATTCAATATTTTACAAAAATCATCATACAATTTTAAACACCATCTGCTTCATGCATAGGACTGTTGAAAGAAAGAGGCAATAGGAAGCCAGAGTACAGTCTGCACTCATAATACAAGTTATTACTACTTCCATCCCACCAACATTGAGACATAAATGTGAATACTTCCATCAAGCAAAATGAATTTGTATGGTTAATACTGAACTCTTATGACTTATGAGAAGAATAAAATATGAACGATTTGAAACCACAACGTTATCAAATTTGATGAGACAATCTCAGTGGTATTTTCCAAAAAGAAAAATGGGACAATCTTCGGAGAAGAGAAGGAGTATATGTGATTGTGCCATTCCAGAAAATCAACTGAAACAAATAATTCAGCTGATAAAGTTAAGAAAGGTCATCAATATGTGGAACTATAATGTAATACCCATCAAGCATTGGTGTCGCTGGATAGGCAATTTAGCTTATAGTTCCGCCTATGGTTCAACACAAAAGTATCAAATTTAATCTTTTACAAAATAGACAAGCTTTCAATTTTCAAATAGACAACTGCTCACTGGATTATTTGGATATAATTAACTTCAACTAATTCTACATTTGTACACACTAAAATGTAAGCATAATAATTAGGCTGACATGATGAAGAATGGATAGATCAAGCAGAAAAGGAAATTTAAAAACAGATGCATTTAGAAAAGTAGTTAATTTTCTTTAAAATATTGTATAACTACATGAAATGTTAAAAAGGAATAGATGACTTGGGTAATAAAAACTAAGAAAAATCCAATTGTTCAATCACACCACAGCATCAAAAGATTGGGGAAATGGCAGAAAACATTCTCCACTGCTGTCTAGATAATCAGATAAAGCACAAGTGCATGTAGCGATCAAAACCGCATAACAAAAGTAAAGGGACTTAAAGCCTTCTTCCTCTTCTACCACTCTTTCTGCGGGTACTATCCGTGGGGATTGGAGTAACATCCTCTGCAGAAAGAGAAGATGTCACTTTCTTGGTCAAATACAGCAGACAATGCATAGACAGTATTGTACATAGTAGTTAACAATAGGCTAGAGTTGGGGGGTCAAAGTTGTTTCAATTTGAAGAAACAAAATAAATTATTATCAAGCACAATTTAAGTCAGCAGCTATGAATCCATGTGAGAACTGAGAAGGTTCAACGACAATTGAAGAATGGCACACATATGCTTTCTGACTCTACATAATATTTGGACAAGCTCTCAAAGAACTACTAGAAATTCTCAGTCTTTCATTTAAAGATAATCCATTCTCAAAGGTAATTTTCTTTTAAAGTTCAAAATAACCAGCACAACTTTTTTTACGATGAAGAATTAATGTATAGATATATCATATATAATGACTGTAGTGGTACAGTCCAGAGAACTAATAAAGCTAAGGCTACCCAAATACTTGGTAACACTCTACTGATATATGTGAAGACAAGTTCAGTAACCCAGATGATATTTATACCTATACGGCCAATTTTCATGCCTGATCGAGCAAGGGCTCTCAGGGCAGATTGGGCACCAGGTCCAGGTGTTTTTGTTTTATTCCCTCCCGTAGCTCTGAGCTTGATGTGAAGTGCAGTGATACCAAGTTCCTAAAAATAATAAATTCGCAGATCATTAATAATTTCAAGTGATGATTATTTGAATCTGCAGATTAATCAAACAAGATAAATCATGGTTGTGTAAACAAAACTTGGATGGGATATACAGAATACCTTGCAACGCTGCGACACATCTTGTGCTGCAAGCATAGCAGCATAAGGAGAGGATTCATCCCTATCAGCCTTCACCTTCATACCACCTGCAGATTATTAAAATATTAGTCATTCCCTAAACATATCCGCAAAGAAAACTTTAACTCATGTTTACTATTTGGAGAAAAGAGGAACTCAAAAAAATGTACAGCCAATTCATTCGAATGCAGAGCTTATACAGCAATACCAACAAATAGTTAAAACATACCAGTAATCCGAACAAGGGTTTCTCTTCCGGACAAATCAGTAACATGCTGAAGAAGAAATAACAAACCATAGAAACCGGTTACAATTACAATTCATATAAACTATCTTAATTTTAATCACTCAACCAACAGCTAATTGCAACTAGAACCGGAAAACTTACAATGAAAGTATCATTGAATGACGCAAAAATATGTGCAACACCAAACACCTTTTCCCCATCCCTTAAAGTTGGTCCGAGTGTAACAGTCTCCTCCTTGGGCTCTCTGTTCTTTCTCCTAGACTATGAACCCATTTGGGGAAAACAATAACACCAAATGGTGTGTCAAAAACAGTAGCAAACTTACACAGCTGATATGTAATCACATTCGACATCACTGATATATATAAAACGCTATTGTTACGAAAACAAAGCTTCCATTCTTATTGAAAGAATCAAATATATGCCGACAGTCGTAGATATCGAAGGTTACCATGGTGAGATGAAGAAGCTAAGCTGCAACTTGAAGATTGAAACCCTCTGTTAGTGTCCAAGTGAAGTGACGATGGTTTTTGTGGTTTATTATATATATCTAGGGTTAGGTGGTGATGAATGAAAATACATCGTATATCGATTATGAACTAAGCCCAACGGACTATGTCTTACTTGGCGGATAAACCCATTCAACTTCAAACAAATTCAAAATAGAGTTTTTTTTCTTCTAAAATATTTCTAATCAATATATATATATATATATATATAAAAGAGGAACTTTTTAAGAGCATACAAAGTGTCACATAATTTTGTCATGTCATTTTATATAACAATTATTTACTTATTTTTATACCTTTTGTTTTTATTAGATTCTATTTTTGATTGCATATTGATATGGAAACAAAAATCCTTATAAATCCACCTTAATTAATTTGGTAAGCTTCAAATAAGTAAAATAATTTTTGGTTATCAAAATGAAATTCTAATAACGTTTATTGATATGGAAACTAATTTATATTAGTTTACTATACCGAATTAAATAGAAACAAATATGCAAATTAGTTTACTTATTAATTTGACACCTATTAATAAATTAGTAAGCTTCAAATAAGTAAGTAATTAAAAATGAAATTCGAAATTATAACCAACATAAAGTATATATATTTTCACAAGTAAATATATTTATCTTAGTCAAACAAGTAAATTTTTTGGCTGTTTCATTATTTTACACCTAAAATTCAAATATGTCTTCACTTTTGAAATAGATTCCTAATCCAGATTAGAAAATCTATATAGGTTTACGAATTCCTACTTTTATTTTAATAGAATATTTTTAATTGGATTGATTTAAGTTCCAGATTAAATCAGATCAGATCAAACTTTAATAATTATAACAATAAGTCACATAAAAACAGACATCTAATAAACCATATTAATTCATACCAAATCAAACCCGAAATTTTAATTCAATTAAAAACATTCTTATTAATGGGTAAACTGTAAGATCTAACAGTTAAGAAATATATAATTTTTTTATTATTGGGTTCATAACAATTATGTTTACTTGAGATGCTTATATAGAAGACCAAATTAACTTTTTTTCATATATTTTTTTCTTTGTTTCACAAATGGAATATATTTCACATATATTTTTCATGATTCAGAAGATTACACCAATTTAACCAGAATTCAATTAATTTCAGCAAAATAAGTTAATTCTATTTACTTTAGTATTATCAAAGAGACTCTATATTAGACTAAGCGTTGGAAAAAGTGTGTTAAAAGTGTATTAAATGGTCATTTTAGGGCAATTATTTGAGTGGGGTCCACTTCCGATTTGGGTCGGGTCAAAGTGGTTTCGGATTGTCCTTGCTAAGGGCTACAATTCGATATATGGTACACTCAAAACGGATAACGGGTGAATGAGAAATTGTTTTTCGAAGTTTACCCGTTGGAATGGAGAAAACTAGGAAAATGTGGGTTTTAGTGTGGGTTCTTTCCCACACCGAAAATCACAAGGGAATTTGAACCCTTTATAAAGGGAAACCCCCCTAAGGAGTTAAGATTCCTAAAGGGAAAGATTCTCTCACGCGCGCAGGGGGGGTGCGAATCAAATCCCGAAACCGAAGAACAAAAATCGCGACTTGCTTGTGCGGGCGACTTGCACACACGAATGCCCAACGTCTATATGCTGCCATTGATGTCCCAACGTTCATATGAACGTTTTGGGTTGTTTAAGGACTGGAATCAATGCCCAACGTTTAGGACATTGATGTCCAACGATCATAACCCTTAAACAGCCATTAGCACACTTTAATCCACCCCTATAAAAGGCTAGTAGGTGATTTGCAAAGACACAACCTTTCATACACTTCGTTCACGTTCGTTGGAACTTTAGTTTGAGTGCTAAACTATTGTTCGAAGTCATCGTATCCTGGGAAACGATCGTTGCAACGCTCCTAGCACCCCGGGAGGCAATCTGAAAGTGGAGCACCGGTGAACAATGGTTCACAACGCGGTGCATCTACTTTGGGCAACCAAGGGGCAATCCCTATGGTTACCATGCCGAGCAACTCTGTGGAGAAACCCGAAAAGTTTAACGGGTTAAACTTCAAGAGGTGGCAGCAAAAGATGCTATTCTATCTCACTACTCTCGGTCTTGCAAGGTTCTTGACCGAAGATGCGCCGGTAGCAACCGGGGGTGAGGTGGATGCGCAATCTTTCAACGCGGTTGAAGCTTGGAAACATTCTGACTTCCTTTGCCGAAACTACGTGTTGAACGGGCTGCATGATGCTTTGTACGACGTTTATAGCAAATTAGCTACAGCTAAGGAGCTATGGAATGCTTTGGACCACAAATATAAAAGCGAGGATGTCGGCGCAAAGATATTTGTTGTTGGTCGATTCCTTGACTTTAAAATGGTGGATTCGAAGACGGTCTTGAGTCAAGTTGAGGAGATGCAAATGATCTTCAACGAAATTCGAGATGAAGGAATGACAGTTAGTGAGTCTTTCCAAGTGGCGTCAATTATCCATTTATTGTCGCCGGCTTGGAAGGATTTCAAGAACTACCTTAAGCATAAGTGAAAGGAAATGAACTTGGAGCAATTGATCCTCCGTCTGCGGATTGAAGAGAATAACTGGAAGAACGATGGGAAACTCCCAATTGTTCATGGCGCCAAGGCCAACGTTGTGGAGCATGCTAAAGGCTCCAAAAATAAAAATAATGGGAAGAGCAAGCTCGGTCCCAAGGGAGGCGTTTCCAAGACAAAGTTCAATGGAAAATGCTTCAATTGCAATAAAAACGGACACAAGTCCGCGGATTGCAAGGCACCTAAGAAGAAGAGTGACTCTCAAGTCAACTTGGTGCAAGGTGGGCAAAAGGATGAAGACATCATCCTAGCGGCTGTGGTTACGGAAGTCAACCTCGTTAGATCCAATTCCAAGGAGTGGTTTGTGGACACCGGTGCAACCCGACACATTTGCTCTAACCGGGAGCTATTCACAACCTTTGAGCCATCAAACGGTGAGAAGGTGTGGATGGGGAATTCTGCTCATTCCGAGGTTGAAGGCATGGGCAAGGTGGTCCTGAAGATGACTTCGGGCAAGGAGCTGACTCTCAACAATGTGTTGTACGTCCCGGAGATACGCAAAAACTTGTTCTCGGGCTCTTTGTTGAACAAGCATGGGTTCCGCATGGTGTTTGAGTCGGACAAACTAGTTTTGTCAAAATCGGGAATGTATGTGGGGAAGGGGTATGCAGTTGATGGGTTGTTTAAGCTCAATGTAATGACTATTATTAATAATAATAATAAAATATCTTCTGCTTACTTGCTTGAGTCTTCCAATGTGTGGCATGGTAGACTAGGACATGTTAATTTTAATTCTATACGTAGATTAATTAACATGGAACATATTCCTAAATTCACAATTGATGTGAATCACAAATGTGGAGTTTGTGTAGAGGTAAAACTAGCGAAAACGTCTTTCAAATCGGTTGAAAGAAAAACGGAGCCACTTGAATTAATTCATAGTGACGTTTGTGATTTTAAATCAATACAAACACGTGGCGGTAATAAATATTTTATTACTTTTATCGATGATAGCACTCGCTATAGCTATGTTTATTTATTAAAAAATAAACACGAAGCAATCGATAAATTCATTCTTTATAAGAATGAAGTGGAAAACCAACTTAATCGACGGATTAAAATGGTTAGAAGTGATCGAGGTGGTGAGTATGAAACACCAATTGGTGACTTTAGCGCGAGCGTGGGTATAGTACATGAACGTATCGCACCCTATTCACCTCAATCAAATGGTGTTGCCGAACGAAAGAATCGCACATTGAAAGATATGATGAACGCGATGCTAGTAAGTTCGGGTTTGCCACAAAATATGTGGGGCGAAGCAGTCTTGTCAAGCAATTACCTTTTAAATAAGGTCCCCCGAAAAAAATATGATAAAACTCCGTACGAGTTGTGGAAAGGCAGACGGCCTTCCTATCAATATTTAAAAGTGTGGGGGTGTTTGGCAAAAGTGCTTGTACCAACACCTAAGAAAATAAAAATAGGTCCAAAAACGGTGGATTGTATTTTTATTGGATATGCACAAAATAGTAGTGCTCATCGGTTTTTAGTGTACGATTCGAATAATCCGGATGTACATGAAAACACTATAATTGAATCAAGGAATGCCTCATTCTTTGAAGATGTATTTCCATGTAAGTCCAACGAAGGACCTAGCACGTCAAAATGAACATTTGACGTAGCTATGGAAAATACTAGTGAGGGATCCGGTGAAGAACCCGAACCCCGACGTAGCAAACGTGCTAGAGTAGAAAAATCCTTCGGACCGGATTTTCTCACATACCTGGTAGAATTCGATTCGAATATTCTAACTTGTATGGTAGAAAATGAACCGGATTTTCTACCATGTTTGGTAGAAAATGAGCCACGGACTTATACGGAAGCCGTAACGTCTACCGAAGGACCGATGTGGAAAGAAGCCATCAAAAGTGAGGTGGACTCTATCCTAAAAAATCACACATGGGAATTGGTTGATCTCCCTCTGGGATGTAAACCTTTGGGATCCAAGTGGATTTTTAAACGTAAAATGAAACCAGACGGTTCCATTGATAAGTATAAGGCCAGACTTGTAATCAAGGGATACAAGCAACGCGAGGGCCATGATTACTTTGACACGTATTCTCCCGTGACGAGAATAAATTCCATTAGGATGATACTAGCGATTGCCGCTTTGTGGAATTTGGAAGTTCATCAAATGGACGTAAAAACCGCTTTTCTAAATGGCGATATAGACGAAGAAATCTATATGGAACAACCCGAGGGTTTTCGTGTTCCAAGCCAAGAAAAGAAGGTTTGTAAATTAATTAAATCATTGTATGGATTGAAACAAGCCCCTAAACAGTGGCACGAAAAGTTCGATCATGCAATGTTAATTAATGGGTTTAAGATAAACGAAAGTGACAAATGCGTCTATGTGAAAAGCACGGTAGACGGCTATGTCATTTTATGTTTATACGTGGATGATATACTCATCGTGGGTAGCAATAATCAAATGATTAATTCTACCAAAAGCATGTTAAATTCTAAGTTTGACATGAAGGATATGGGGCTGGCCGATTTAATCCTTGGGATTAAAATAATTAGAGGACCTGACGGTC